CCTCAGCGCCAGGGTGGTAGAGGACCGTTCCCTGCGAGCGGTCCCAGTCCTCGATAAGGCACTTGGCAATCTCCTGCACGGCGAGGCGGACGCTCTCCGGCTGGCCGGTAACCTCGACGATGCGCTCGGTCGACTGGGGGAGCATCTCCTTCGAGGCGACCATGCGCGCCTGGGCGAGCTCCTGGATCTGGCGGATCTTGGAACCGCCCTTGCCGATGACGGAGCCGATGAGGAGGTGCGAGATGAGGAGGCGGATCGAGGCAGACGCCGAGGGGGAGACGGCGGACGAGTCGCCGCCGCTGGGGGAGCTGCCCGACGGGACTGGGTTCTCGAGGATCGTCTGCGCGACGAGAGAGTAGGCCTGTGCACATGAGATGAGCTCTGAGTTAGTTCGTTTCCTTTGACAGAAAGAGCCAGGCCAACTCGAGGCGCTTCGCTCAACGCACCTTGGCGACGCTCTCGACGGTACCGCCGATGCTCAAGACACGGTCAGGGACACCGGGAACGACCTTGGAGACACCAGCCTTGACATTGGCGTCGGTGCGAATCTGGGCAATCGTCGCTCCAGCGCGGCCGATGATGACACCTGGAGGCGTTGGCCGCGCGTGCAATGGGTCAGCGTACTGTAGGAGTCCAGTCAAGATTGCGCATAGCCCAGCAAAGCCCCAGCATCTCGTGCAAACACGCGCGGTTTTTCGCCTCCTCCCTCGTGCCAATGAAAGCGTTCCCAGCCAAGCCCGCCCGTTCGAGCTACTGTGCCCGGCTCGTTCCGAGCCCAAATCTAGCGCCTGCCAGTCCTCCCCAGTCCTCCCACTGCGTGTGAGCGAGCGTGCGACTGACCTGCCTCCTTTGAGCTGACCAACGCCCTCAACGTCAACCCGTCGTCCTCCGTCTGTCCGGGCTGGTGGATCGCGTCCGGGTTGCCCGAGTTGGCGATCGTAGCAGCGGTAGGTGCGGCGGCGGGCGTGTTGGCAGGCGGGCCACCCTGGGTCTGCGGGTTCGACGCGGACGAGGGCGAGGTCGAGGGGGCGGCGGCGGCGGCGGGGGACGAGTCGGAGGACATGGTGAGGGAGAGGAGGAGGGGGAGAGGCGGCTGGAGAAGAGTACGAGTCCTGGAGAGCGAGAGCGAGACGGAGGGTGAAGAGAAGAAGCAAGCCAGCGTTCGGATACAAGAACTGATTACAACAGGTTTTGTATTCATTCACCAATACAAACCTGCAACTCGCTTTCTCTCGTTTGCGTGAGCGTGTGACGACCTGGCAATGCACGTGCGCCGACTACTAGACAGGCCCAACGAACGCCTCGAGGCCGTCAACGATGTCGCTGAACTTGGGCCACGGGACGAGCATGAGCTGCCCCTTCATGTCGACACCAAACTGGTCCTGCCCGCCGCCTTCTGCCCGCCGCGAGTTGTTCGAAAAGTCAAAGACGTGTGTGTGCTCAGCGAACTGCGCGGGCAGAGTTACTGTCAGTCGGCGGATCCGATGCGACTGTAGACGAGAGCATCGAGAGCAGTCCACCTCGAACGGAAACCAACGCACCTTCTGAATGAACTCGTCCTCGACATGATACATCCACAACTTCTCCTCCTCCTGCTCCGCTCCTCCCGCCTTGCGCTGCTTCTTCTTCTTGGGCGGAACCTTGGCCTTGGCTTCTGCCTCTGCGACGATCGCGGCTTCGAGCGCGGCATTTGGGTCGTCGTCGAGGGCGGAGAGGGAGGACTTGAAGACGCGCGAGACGAAGAGGAGGTGCGAGAAATGGTACGGTTCGCCCTGTGCGTGCGACATTCAACATCAGCCGCGCACAACTCGAGAGCTGAGCAGAAGGCGAGCATAAAGGGAAGGAGGGAACGCACATCGTCTTTCGCCCACTGCAACTCCTCGCTGAGCATCCTGTACATGGGCGGAACAATCTGCGGGGGCATGTTCACCATCCGCTCGCTCAGCACGAGCCCGACATGCGACGGCTTTGACGCGCTTGAGGCGGCTGCGTCGACGGAGAGGAGGGACGAGAGAGTCGAGTGGAAGGCGGACGAGGAGGGGAGTTTCGAGAGGATGTACGAGACGAGCGACGAGAGGGCTTTGTTGGACTGCAAGGCCGCGAGCTTCGTCAGCGCGGCGCTCGAGCAGATTAAAGAGCACACTACGTACCTTGTGAACGTTCAAGTTGAGCACAGTCAACACCGCGTACGGATCCCCCTCATGCGCCTTGTCGTCCTCATCTCCACTATCCGTCTTGACCGTACTCCCGACCAGCTTCTGCTCCAGTACGATATCCGTCACGCCTCCCAGATCCAGACTCGCTGCGTCCCCCTGCAAGAGCTGGGAGAGGAGCAGCTTGATAGAGTGGTAGTCTTGAGGTTGAGGGTCGAAGAAGGAGAAGTTGACGTCGAGCATCTGCGCGCGACCTTGTCAGCGCTCCGAACACCTTTCTGAGAGTCCCGACGAGCCCAACGCACCTCGACGTCGCTCCCTCCCTCGCCCTCATCTCCCTCCTCCTCGCCTCCCTCGTCCCGCTCCCTCCGCTTCCCCTGTCCCACCTTCTGCTGCTGCGGAGGCACAAGGTCGACGTCCATTCCTTGAGAGGCAGCTGTAGAGCGTTTGGGCATCGTTCGAGCGGGTGTGGGTGTGTGGGAGCTGTGGAGAGATGAAAGCGATGAAAGAAGCTCGGGGCGGTAGACAGCGCGGGAGGCTGTCTAGAGTCGTGAACAGCGCCGAGACCTTTCAAACAGCTCGCAGCAGACCAGGCTGTGGTGGACGGGAGACGCGCGAACGACGGAAAAACAACTCTCGCAGGGACAGACGGTTTCGGGGCCAAACCAAAGCGTTACACCAGCTACAACGCTTATGCCTCCTCGGTGCGGACGCGAGCGTTCGAGTTGTTGACCTTGACGCCAAGCTGTGAGGTACGGGGGACGGTGGAGGAGGTGCAAGCGCGTGCTGGTCAGTATCTCGCGCTACGACGGCAGAGCGATGTGGGGACTCACGACGCGCGCCTTCTCGACGATGGCAACACGCTTGCGAGCCGAGACAGACGAGGCGATGGTAGCAGCGAACCTATGAAAGAACCCGTCAGCTGAACTCCTCGCCAACTCCCTCTTCCTCGCCGAGTTCTGGACAAATCGACTCACTGCTTGCCCTGCATCAAGAGCGTCTCGACGTCCTTCTCGTTGTGGACGACAAACTCCTTCTTGCCGTTGGGGAGGAGGTGACGGGTCTTCTTGTTCGAGCCGTAACCGATCGAGGGCATCGGGAGCTGGCCCTTGAAGCGGCGGCGGACCCTGTTGTCGATACCCTTGGGCTTGCGCCAGGCCTCCTTCACGCCCGCATAGCGGTCCGACTGGTGGCGCTTCTGCTCGCGGGCAGAGAAGGCCAGAGCAGTTGTGCGTGGAAGGTAGGTCGGGGGGATGGAGGGGGAGGATGACGAGTCGATCGCGTAGATGGACGAGAAGTATGGCGGAACAAGGAGAAGACGATAGGGAACGGGGAGACGAACGGTGATTAGCTGGACGGACACCCGTATCCGTTCGATCCAGTTTCCGCAAAGACCCGGAAACGCACGAAGGGCTTAGTCCTCTTCTTGACGATCTTGATCGAGGCGGCGGCCATTGCTGCAACCTGAGTTGGCGGAGAACGAGGGAGAGGTCAGCTTGTGAGGTTCGGAGGTGGCTGGGATGGGTTGTAGGTGTGGTGAGGAGCAGAGTTGTCGAGACGTCGGGATTGGCAGTACTGGAGCTGGATCGGCGGCGGGCGAGGGCGAACTGGCGATGGATGGAGGTGGTCGAGTGTCGGTGGACGGGCAGCATTTCCCCTCGCACCGCCAAAGATGCCGTGCGCTTCCTCCACGTTTCAGCACCTCCTTGTGACCTTCTGGCGATTGCCCGCACGTCCCATCGTCCTGTCGCACTCTCCGCCATCCACCGCAAAGCCTTCCCCCTCGACCCTCGTTCTCGCCCACCACGCCACCTGAGTCGCCCGTTCAAAGTGCCCAGTCCGATGCAAGTACCACCGAGTCGAACGAGACGAAAGCGAGCCGCACCAGAACTGTTGACGGACCGGGAGAGCAAAGGTCAGCCTGAGTGCTCGGTTCGAGCTGGAGATGGTCGACCGGTCCCTGCTCGTCCACCGCTCCAGGCGACTCGGCTCGAGTTCCGTGCTCCTCCAGCACTTCATCCAGCCCGCCCAGTCCCGCCAGAACCAGCCCAGGAGCGAGTGTCGCGCCGCTGTCCCTGCCCGACGAAGTTTGTGCCCGCATCGCGCGCTGCTCGCTCGCTCCCGCTCCGGCGCCTCGGCGGTGTGGCTGGGTCGTACTGGCGTACGTGCAGAGTGTGCTGTGCGTGCAGAGCGAGACTCACAAGGGGGTGAGGGGGTGTGTTGGGTGGTGTGCCGCAGAACAACCTTGGCTCGAGGACGAACCACGACCCGACTCTCGCCCGCTCACGCTCTGGCTGGCTCGCTGCGACGGCGTGTGCTGCAGAACGAAGCTACTCATGCAGGCACTCGCTCGAGCGGAACGCCCGCGGGTTGGGGCGTCCCCCTTCATCCAGCTCACTCCCCTCGGCGGCGCACGACCTCGCTTCGTTGCTCACGGGCGATGAAGACGGCCGACGATCGCATGGAGCTCTTCAGCATCATGCTCGCACCCCTGAAGACTAGCGAGGCCCCTGCCGCTGTTGGCGACTCTCCAGTCGTCCTTGAACGTCTTCGTGTGCCTCATTCTCGCGCTACTCCCGCATCCGGCCTCGCGCGGTCCAGCAGACTCGACAGCGTCTCTCTTCGCAGGCCATCTGTCCCGACTGACCGCAACTGAGTGCGCTGTTGGCGGCGACAGGGGGTTTCGAGCCGGGTCAGGTGGGGCCAACATCTCCACTCTTCCTGCGCTCGTCGTCTGGCGCTGGCGATTCACCAGCTTGACTTGGAGCCCACGACCGTGTGCACAGACCTCCGTGAGTCCATCGCGCTGACCCGCGCAGCGACACGGCCCGCTGACATCTCTCCCTTCTTCTCCGCGACGGACAGCCCTCGCAGACACTCTCGACACGGAAGCAGCGCGACAGGCTCGCTCGACAACCGATGGCGCATCGCAGACACCGAGTTGTGGTGAACGCCCACCCAGGGTCGTCGGCGCAGGAGATCGAGGACGAGCCAGACTGGTCAGGCGGACACCAGCACCGCGTCGGCTTCCGCAACCGCGACGACCGCGCGCCAGGCTTGGCACCCGGCAGCAGCATCGACATCGACGAAACGGAGCACGAGCACGAGCAGGACGTTGCCCGTGCAAAGGCTCAGCTCGAGACGCTCCGCGAGGAGAGGAGCGCAGGCCGCCTCGTCAACTTTCGCGAGGTCGTCGAGCGCCAGGAGGACTTGCACCTGCGCTACCCGGCTGACAGGCCCATCGGCTGGCGCTACGTGCTCAACGAGACCGAGGACTGGGTCAAGAACGAGCAGGACTGGCCCGCCAACGCCAAGAAGCGCAGTCAGCAGGAGCAGCAGCAGCATGGCGATGACAAGAAGGAGCACGAGGACGACGGCAAGAAGGAGCACGGGAGCGCCGAGACTGAGAAGAAGCCGAAGCCGACGGAGGAGAAGCAGCATGAGCCAAGGAGCGACGGCGGCGGCGGCGGCGAGGGCGACAAGCAGCGTAGCCCTCAGGAGCAGGCGCTCTTGGAGAACCTCAAGGGCGAGTCCGAGTATGTCGCGGGCTTGCAGATCAACGACGGCAGCGGACACGCCATGCCGCGCGATCTTCGGAACCGCACCGATATCTCCATCGACGAGCAGGATCAGTTCAGCCCGGACAACTGGCTTCCGCGCGCAACCGGTCTCGTGCGGCTGACGGGCAAGCACCCCCTCAACGCCGAGCCGCACCTGACCGAGCTGTTCGACGCCGGCCTCATCACGCCCAACGAGCTTCACTACGTCCGCAACCACGGCTCGGTGCCGCGCATCCTGTGGGAGCTGCACCGCGTCGACGTCGAGGTCGACCGCGACCTTGGTCTCGGGCCGGGTGCGCGGCTTTCGCTCTCGATGGACGACATCAAGGACGACTTCGAGGCGGTTAGCTTCCCGGTCTACCTCGCCTGCGACGGCAACCGGCGCAAGGAGCTCAACATGATCCGCAAGGGCAAAGGCTTCAACTGGGGTGCCGGCGCAGTCGGGTGCGCCTACTGGAAGGGCGCGCTGCTGCGCGACGTGCTCGCCTCGGCAGGCATCGTGCCGGACGAGGTCGATGCGCAGCTGCAGTCGCGGCAGCTGTGGGTCAATTTTGCCGGCCAGGACGAGCTCAGCGAGGGTACGTACGAGACGTGCATCCCGCTCGCGTACGCCATGAACTCGCACAACGACGTCCTCCTCGCGTACGAGATGAACGGCGTCAACTTGCCGCCGGACCACGGCTACCCCGTCCGCCTCGTCGTCCCGGGCTTCGTCGGCGGCCGCTGCGTCAAGTGGCTGCGGCGCATCTGGATCACCGAGCGCGAGAACAGCTCGCACTACCACATCTGGGACAACCGCGTCGTGCCGGCTTTCGTCCGCAGCGCCGACGAGGACGACCCAATCGCCCACACCATGTTCCATCACCCGGACACCAAGTGCAACGAGCAGAACCTCAATTCGGTCATCGTCCGCCCCGAACACGGCGAGACCGTCAGCTTCGGCTCCGCTGCAGGTCGGCGCTCGTACCGCGTCCAGGGATACGCCTACGACGGCGGCGGCCTCGAGGTGCAGCGCGTCGAGGTCTCGCTCGACGGCGGCGACGAGTGGCTCTACTGCATGCGCACGTTCCCGGACCAGCCCGTCCGCCACGGGACCAAGTTCTGGACGTGGCTGCACTGGCACGTCGACGTCGACATGGCGCAGCTCCTCAACGCCAAGAGCATCACCGTGCGAGCCTTCAACTCGACCAAGAACACGCAGCCCGAGCGGCCCGTCTGGAACATCATGGGCATGATGAACAATAGCCAGTACGTCGTGCGGTCCGAGGTGCAGCAGCGGCAGCAGCAGGGACAGGACGGCCTCTCGGTTGTCTTCCGTCACCCCGTCGAGCCCGGTACCGGCGAAGGCGGCTGGATGCAGCCGAGCGAGGAGAACAAGATCGCCCAGGCGAAGCAAGAAGCCGGTACGCCCGAGAAGCAGTTCACCCGCGAGGAGATCGAGAAGCACAGTCGCGCCGACGACTGCTGGATCGTCGTCGACGGCAAGGTCTACGATGCGACGAGCGTGCTCGACTGGCACCCGGGCGGCAAGGCCGCCATCCTCTCGCACGCCGGAAAGGTCCACCAGCAGACGACGGACGAGTTTGCCAGCATCCACGACGACTACGCGTACGGGAAGCTGAAAGGTGCGCCCCGAGTTCTCGCTGTCCTCACTACGGGAGTTCGTCCTCACTCACTCACATTGCAGACTGCATCCTCGGATCGGTCACGGACAAGGCCAAGCAGTTCATCAAGCAGTCGGCCGAGGCTGCCGCCAAGGAGGCTGCGGCATCCGGCGGCAAGGACGCGGACCAGAAATTGGCGCTGAAGAAGCATCGCTGGGTCCCTGTCCGCCTGCTCGACCGAAGCGAGGTCTCGCACGACACGCGCAAGTACACCTTCCAGCTGCCGGACGGCAAGGACACGCTCGGATTGGGGACGTGCCAGCACGTCCTCATCGGCTTCCACATGCCGGACCGGATGCTCATCCGCAGCTACACGCCCACCCGCCCGCTCTTGCCTGCTCGTACCGCCGACCGTACAGAGGGTAGCGGCGCAGTGAGCGGCGTCGAGGACGAGCGCGAGACGCTGCAAGACGGCCAGGGCACCTTCGACCTGACCGTCAAGACCTACTTCCCCGACACCAACCAGCCCGGCGGCGCCCTCTCAAACATCCTCGACTGCATCCCGATCGGCGAGGACGTCGAGATGCGCGGTCCGACTGGCGACATCGTCTACGAAGGCAACGGCACCTTCACTCTCGGCGAGGGCCAGCAGCGCCGCTTCTCGCGCGTCTCGCTCGTCCTCGGGGGGTCCGGTATCACCCCAGGCTTTGCGCTCATCGCCCGCATCCTTCTCTCGGCCAAGGACGACACGCAGCTGCGCGTCGTGGACGCCAACAAGTCTGAAGACGACATCCTCCTGCACGCCGAGTTGGACCGCTTCGAGAAGGAGGCGAAGGAGGGACAACTGCGCATCACCCACGTGCTGAGTCACCCGGCAAGCGACGACTGGACCGGCCGCCGTGGCCATGTCGACGCCGACCTCCTCCGCGACGCCCTCTTCCCGCCCGACAAGGACTCTGTCGTCTTCCTCTGCGGTCCGCCCGCCATGATCCAGAAGGCGGCGCTTCCGGCACTGCGAGGTGAGCACCGACTCTCTTACTCCGGATTGCAGCATCCGCTGACGCCCCGCTGCACGCAGACTGGGGCTACGTCGAGGACGAGAACATGTTTGGTTTCTAGTCGGCGGTTTCTCCCCTTGCCATGTAAAATGCATCGTTAGTTGGCTCGAGACATTGCTCCATCCAGAAAGCCCCTTGGAGCGCAGAGCGAGCCTTCGCCGCTACCTCACTCTCCTCGTCTTCGTTCTCGAAGCCGTCGGCTCAACTCGCTCCACCCGCTCGCTCAGCCCGTACAGCCAGTCCGCCCGCTGCAGGGTCCGCTTCAAGCCCGCCATGGACCCGCTGGGCAACCTCCAGTTCACGACCTCTGGCGCGCTCATCGAGCTGGTCGACAGTCCGTCCCTCCCCCTCTCGTCTCTCGGTGGGTTCGCGCTGATCGTGGATGTGCTCCTGGGAAACAGAGAAGGTCATGGTGCATCTGCGGGACGACCGAAAGTTGGTGGGCGTGCTGAGGAGCTACGATCAGTACGGTGCGTTTCATCGTCCTCTCTCGCTTGACTGGCCGGCTTGGAAGGGTCGCTCGCTCGCTCAAGCTGACCATACAGTCTCCCTTCGCGCACCTCCCCATCTGCGCCTCGCCCATGCCTACGAACCTCTCCCCTTCCCTCCTCACCTTCCCTCTCGAAATGCAATCGCAGCCAACCTCGTCTTGACGCAAACAATCGAGCGACTGTTTCACCCGCCTTCCAAATCTTACGCGCAGACGGACCGAGGGGTCTTTCTGGTCAGGGGCGAGAACGTGGTGTTGCTGGGTGAGGTGGTGCGTCCGGTCTCTCACTCGTCTCGTCGCTGTCTTGCTGCAGCAGGAGGAGCGCGAGTACACGACGTTGCGGATTGCTCGCTGACACGCCTCGCGTGCGCGCAGGATCTCGACACGGAAGACGCACCGCTCTCACGCCTCACCCTCCTCCCCTGGTCCTCTCTCTCCGCCCTCCTCGCATCCGAAAAGAAGCACAAGCACCTCGAGAAACAAAAGCGCGAGGGAGTGTTGTTCGCGAAGTGTGGGTTTGGGGAGGAGGGTGGGGAGGGGGATGCTTATTGAGCGTGCGAGGAGGAGGAGAGGGAGGGGAGGCAGGGTGACCCCCGTCTTTCTATTCATTCACAAAGACGACGGCGCGGAGGGGTCCCTCGAGTGTTGTGTTGGGCTGGGCTTGGGAGTCTCTCGTAGCGAGCAAGTTGTGCTCTTTCTGCGTTTTGCTTGGTGCTCGTATTGTTCATCTTGTTCATTGTTCGTCTCCGGCGGCTGGCTTGCTTGACGAGCGAATGACTAGGCGGAGCACGAGCGAGCGGGTCGACTTCCTCGTCGCTGCGAGCGAGTCTGGACGACGGTATGTACCGACTCGAGGTTCCTCTCGCTCGAGCGCAATGTCCAGCCTCTTCTCGCACGGCCCTGGCGAGCGAAAGACGGAGCTAGCTGAGGGTTCAAAAGAGACTTGGCGGGCTTTGGGTGAGCAGCGAATACACTTGAGCGAGGAGAGCAAACGAAGGCCAGCGCCAAGCGTGTGCCACCGTTCCAAGCTCTGCAAGATCTTGCGCAGAGCATGGTCGTCGTAAGGTCGACGTTTGGGGCTCGTTGCGAGTGAGGTCGAAGCCTCGGAAGCGGAGAAGAGGATGAGAGACTTGGTAGAATCAATCGAGGAGGCCAGTTTGTCTGCCGTGTCGTCGAGCTCGACTCGAGCGGGCGCAGGATTGGTACGAGCCGATGCGATGGAGGCGAGAACGTCGTAAATGAAGGAGGGTCTGCGATGTACCGAGAGCGAGCGAGGGAAGGGAGAAGCGGAGAAGGCGTGGGAGAGGTCCTCCTCCTGCATGCCTCACGCCCCCGAAGGGCCGCGAGAGACGCAGGGGTCGTCAGGTCGACGAGTTGACGTCGCTGGTGGTCGAAAGGAGTCGTCGGAAGCTGAGGAAGAGGGAGAGACCCGAGGGAGAAGACTGAGAGTTCTCGAGGCGGGCGCCTGCCTCGCTTTGATCCCGGTCTAGCTTGTCCAGCTCCCGCGAGCACCGTTGTCGTCGATAAGCCCACATCCGAAGTCAAGCGAGAAGAGCGAGAGTGAAGCGGGAGAGAGGGAGAGCGGGTTAATCGAGTGGGTTGTAATGCTGTTTGTATTCGTTTGTTTGTAATGGCTGTTTACTCGGCCACGTCACGTTCCGGGAGTGCCCGGGGCGCGCGCAAAAGGCGAACCCGAGCGCGGCGCCGTTTCTCTCTCTTCCCTCAGCAGAGCAGCTCTCGCCTCGAGTACGTCCAGCGCGCCACTCGAGCTGACAACAGCAACGCTGCCACGCCAGCTCACTCTCCAGCTCACCCAACTCACACCGCTCGTCGTCGCCGCGCACCGCAGGAAAACTTTGTTCAGCCATGGCCAAGAAGTCGAAGACGCCGCAGGAGTTCTTCACCGACTTTATGATGGGTGGTGTCTCGTGAGTCGACCCGTCATTCCCACCCAGCTACTCCCGTCCCGCGAGCGCGACGTCGAGAGGCCGAGGGCGCACGGACGTGTTCGCCGGGGTGGTGGTCCAACGCTCGCCTCGCGCGCGACAACGACGCCTCGCGGGGCTTATCGAGCGGCATGGGAGGGTCACGGAGACACTGGGACCGCGACTGACCCACTTGCGAACCCGCGAAACAGCGCCGCCGTCGCCAAGACGGCTGCCGCCCCCATCGAGCGTATCAAGCGTGCGTCACAATCCCCGTTCTCGCTCGCGTACGGGCTAGGAAGACAGAGCTGACCAGAATGAATCGTCTCGCGCGCAGTCTTGGTCCAGAACCAGGGTGAGATGCTCAAGTCGGGCCGCCTCGCCACCCCCTACAAGGGCATCGCCGACTGCGCCGCCCGCACCTACGCCGACGAGGGTCTCGTTTCGTGTGCGTACAACGTCGCTGCGACCCGGAGCGAGCGACGCGAGCTGACTTTCAAGACGTGCTTCTCGGGCAGTCTGGCGCGGCAACACTGCCAACGTCATCCGTTACTTCCCGACCCAGGCGCTCAACTTTGCGTTCAAGGACTACTACAAGTCGTTGTTCTCGTACGACCAGAAGCGCGACGGCTACACCAAGTGGATGCTCGGCAACCTCGCGTCCGGTGGTGCCGCCGGTGCGACCTCGCTCCTCTTCGTCTACTCGCTCGACTACGCCCGTACCCGTCTCGCCGCCGACAACAAGTCTGCCAAGAAGGGCGGAGGAGAGCGCCAGTTCAACGGCCTCCTCGACGTCTACAAGAAGACCCTCGCCTCTGACGGCGTTGCCGGTCTTTATCGCGGGTTCGTCCCGTCGGTCGTCGGCATCATTGTCTACCGCGGTGTAAGAAGACCCTCCCTCTCGTTGCTTGCGCCGCGAACCGATCGCTGACGCTCTCGTCCTCGGGCAGCTCTACTTCGGCATGTACGACTCGCTCAAGCCGGTTGTCGTCTCTGGCTCGCTCCAGGGCTCGTTCCTCGCCTCGTTCCTCCTCGGATGGGGTGTCACCACCGGTGCCGGTCTCGCTTCGTACCCTCTCGACACCATCCGTCGTCGCATGATGGTGCGCATCCTTCCTTTCCTTTCGCGAGAGTCGTTGCTGATGGTTGTCGCGGGCGCGCAGATGACCTCGGGCGAGAAGGTCCACTACTCGTCCATGTTCGACGCTGGTCGCCAGATCGTCAAGGCCGAGGGTATGGGCTCGCTCTTCAAGGGTGCCGGTGCGTCTCGCTTTCCTTCCCTCGCGGCTCTCCAACTCGATCGCTGACCTTCCTACGTCTGCAGGCGCCAACATCCGCGAGTCACAGTCTCCTCCTACTGCACGAAACACGGCAGGATCCGCTGACCTTGATTCTTTCCTCGTCGCGCGCAGTCCGTGGTGTCGCCGGTGCTGGTGTCCTCTCGCTCTACGACAAGCTCCAGGAGCTCATGTTCGGCAAGGTCTACTCGGGTGGATCTGGCTAAAGCGCCCCGGTCGCCTCTGTCTATCCCTTCGTCGTCGTACATCCCGCTTTCCTCCTCCTCGATTTCGTCTCTTCAGAGCAACTTCGTCTTCATTTTGGCCGTGGCAACCCTCCGAGTCTCCGTTCGTGTGAGAGACTGGAGAGAATGCTCCTTCCGAGAATGATGCTGGCGCTGTTCGTCGCACGGTCTTGCCTCGCTGTCAAACTCGGCTACTTGAAGAGTTTGGGTGAGAAGAGCAATGCGCCTCAAGCGAGCTCGCATCCTCTCCTGCATGGCTGCCGACCGTAGCCTTGAACTCCTCGAATTCTTCGGCAACCATGGTTTCTTCGTCTTCTTTCTCATCCTCAGGCTGTTGACGGGGACGGAGGGTGGGCTCGAAAACTTCCTAGCGAGCTCCAAGCGAGGCGAGCAGCAGCGAGCGAGCGCGTTGACTGAGGGAGAGCTGTCGCCTCGACTTGGCGCTCGCGACCGTGCAGTCAGAGACCGCCGCACGTCTCTCTCGCGTTGCCTCTCCTTGAAGCTTGAAGTTGGCTATCCCTCGTCCACCTCACTCATTACCGTTCCGCAGCTCGCCTGCTACGCTTGTGCGCATTCCACTGAAGCTGGACTACTGCTGCTCGCCCTCGCTCAGCCCGCCAGCGTCCTCGTTCCGCCTTCCCACCTCCTCCTTGACTTTCATCTCTCAACTCGATCCCTCATTCAACGATGGCGCTGGGTGCTGAACAAGACGCTGGAGTGCGTGGAAAGAGCACTTGGAGGGGACTGATGGTGCGTACGGCCCACTAGCTGTGTTGGCTTTCTCGACACTCCCTCCGAGATCGCGAGGCTGGCGAGAGTGGACGCTGATCCGCACTTTTGGTGCGTGCTTGCAGGTTTACTTGGGCTCCGACACAGTTACTCTGTGCCTTCGCTGCTACCGGACGCTTCAATCAGCCGAACAGATTGCTGCCGACTCGCCTCTCGACTTACTCTCGCTCTCGACTTGCTCTCGACTTACTCTCGCTCTGTCTGTTGACACTTCAGCCTTCCTTTAGGCCAAGCTGGGCCTTGTCTCCTTGCTGCTCTGATTCTTTTGCCGTCCGAGTCCATCCGTTCGACGCGGGAGGAGTCAGTCGTGGCGACTACACCTTCGCTCGCACTGAAACGGCTCCCCTCCGTCTCTCCCGCTCACTTCAGGAGACTCAATCTGTCGAAGTGCGTTCTCTTGCTTGGAGCTTTGCCGACACGGACTCCAGCAGAGAATGGGCTGACCTCCCTGCTTCACCCCTCCTCGCCGCTTTCCCTCGACCTCCAGACTGCCTCTTGACTGCACCTGCGCCGCTTCTCGCACCGCTTTGCGCGACACACATATCGACCACCCCTTCGCACCTGCTCTCGGACCCGACGCACGCCCTGCAGATTGCCATCGCCGCCCCTCAACCTTTTCATCTCGAGGACAATGCTGCACCCCACCGCCGACCGGCTTTCTCACCGCTTCGCCTCGCGTTGGGCCAACTTTGGGCTCACGTGCGCCTTCCATCGGCACCGGCAAGCGCACACGCCTCGCTGGGGCTCCTCGCGCCCACCGCCTCCTTTCTCACCCGCTCGGTCCTCGTCTGTTGTCCTTGCTGTCCGAAGGCGCTCGACAGGGTTTGCTCAGCGACCTTCGTCGTCCGCCCGTCGTCTCTCACACTCGTTTGATACCACGCTCGTTCCCCTTTCTTCCACCAAGATGCGAACGGCCTTCGTCGCACTCGCCTTCGCAGCCCTCGCCGCGGCTACACCTACCTCGACACCGAAGCGGCGCAGCCTCGCCCTCTCTCCCCCCGGCACGAGCGTACCGCCATCGAAGGATGCGTTCTACGACGCGCCCAGCGGGTTCGGGCGCGCTGCGAACGGGCATGTCTTCAAGGCGAGACCGGTTTGGACGCCGTTCGACTCCGAGGCTTCCGGGGCTTACCAGGTCCTCTGTGTGTTCGGAGTCGCTCACTTGTCGTTTAGAGACGAGCGATACTGACTATGCTTTTGTCGCTCACAGACAAGACGACCCTTGCGACGGGAGGCGACGCAGTGACGGCCGCAACCTTGTTCGCTCCGCTCGAACCGGTCTCGCCTCCGCGCATAATGGTCCTCGCCGCGCCCATGGACTCGGCCTGCCGCGACTGCGAAGTCACCTTCGTCCTGCAGAACGGAAGCAAGTCAAACGCGACCGACTTCCTCCTCAAGTCCGTCGCGATCGACATCTTCGCTGGCTTGCACAAGGGCTGGTACGTCGCCGTGCCGGACCACGAGGGACCGAACGCTGCGTACATCGCCGGCGTGCAGGAAGCTTTCGGCGTCATTGACGGCTTGAGGGCGATGCTCAACTTCCCGAACATCCTTCCGAAGACCGACGGCTACAAGGCTGTCATCCACGGCTACTCGGGCGGCGCGCACGCAAGCGCCTGGGCGAACCAGTTCCTTCCGACGTACGGCAGCGAACTCAACGTTGTTGCCGCTGCGTACGGCGGTACTCCTGTCAGCGCCTCCTTCGACGGTCTCGGTACGTTTGCTCGCTATCCAGAGGTACAAGCTTGCCGAGACCAGCTCACCGACGTGTCTTCCTCGCCCTCGTCGCGCAGCCAGCATCTCGGGCGGCGGCAGCTTCCTCTTCTGGGGCGCCCTCGTCGGCCTTTCGAACGCCTACCCCGAGCTCGACCACTTTATCCGCCACCAGCTCTTCCCAAATGGCACCGAAGCCTTCGAGGCAGCTCGCTCGCTCTGCAACACCCAACTCGGCGAGTACCTCGGCGACAAGAGCCTCGTCTCGTTCTTCCGCAACGGCGCAAAGACGTTCACCTACTCGACTGCGCTCAAGTACAGCAAGCTGGGTCAGCTGGGCGAACCCGTCAAGAAGGACATCTCGCCTGCCGCCGCGACCGACGGCATCGTTCGTCGCCCGACCCTGATGTACCACTCGTCCACCGACGACATCGTTTCCTGTGCGTCCTTCCCCGTGTAAACAGAGGAGAGGCCCACTGACTCTACACGCCCTCCCACAGACGCACCGGTTCCTGCGTACGTCGAGTCGCAGTGCAAACGCGGCGCCAAGATCCTCTTCGAGACCGCGCCCGGCTTCACGCACACGACAGCCGCCATCATGTGGACCGCCGACGCCTACAACTTCCTCGAGTCCGCCTTCGACGGCAAGCTCAAGCTCGACAAGTGTCAGCAGAAGACTGGCATCACGACGCAGCTCGGCACCGACGAGTTTATCGCCGCTATCGGCCAGTCGGCGTGGAGTCTCATCCAGTCGCAGATGCAGAATGCGTCCTAAGCGGCCGGCGCTTCTTGCGGTACCCGTCGTCCGCCTTGATACTCCTCAACCATACTCTTTCGTTCCTTTCTTCCCCTCACTGCCATAACCTCTCTTTCTCGCTTATCGCAGGTCCTCCGAGGACTGTTTGCGCCGCAGGGAACGCCTCGCAATCCAGCACGTATGCTGCTCGGAGTCGTCAGCGAGAGTTGCGAAGGTCTCCTCCGAGCTCCCTCTCGTCCGGGCTCTCCTCCTTCGCTCTTCTGCTTCCTGGCCTCTCGCAAGTGTCGTGGGCCTGTGTATTTGATCGGCGAGCGTTTCCAGGAGATCACTCCCTCGTCTCGTCCGCCTGCTCTCGCCTTGTCTTCCTCCCGCTCTCTCACTCCGCTCCTTCCGCGCTTGCTAGACTGTCAGAGAGCAGAAGACTGCTCTAGACGACTCATCGTGCCCTTCACGCACACTCCCGTTCCCTCGCACCTCGTCATTCCTCCTCATCAGTCTCGCTCAACACCCCTCGACAACTCGCTCGCGGCCGCACTAGATGGCGCAGCAGCTGCCTGCAGTGTTTGCGCAGCTGAAGTACGGTGCGGGGCGCTTGTTTCTCACCCGATAACTCGCTTGCTGACCTTCAGCTCTCCCCACCAGTGTGCTTTAGCTGGCCCAACACGCAGCTGCTCAAGCGGGACCCGATCGCGCGGACGTGGTTCAAGTCGCACTGCACGATCACGACGTTGCCTGCTGCGCTCGGCGGCTGGCCCCTCACGCTGTACGAAGCCGTCGCGTCCTCGACCCAAAGCGTTCCGGAACTCTTCCTCTCCCAGCAGCAATGCGATACCCTCCTCAACTCCCTCGCCGAGCTCATGGGACCCAGTCGCGCTCGGGCGAGCTGGCGTGACTCGGCGTGGCACAAGCGCGAGGCCCTCATCCGCTCGTCGGCGCAGGCAGGTGGCATCAAGGTCCACGTCTTTCACTCGCAGGCAGAGCTCGAGGCGCGCTTTGCCGAGCTGAAGGACGGTGATGACTGGGCAGCGACGAAGACGCACTGGCGGGAGTTGAAGCGGGCGCAGGAGGTCTTTCAGTGGTTGGGCAGCGGAGCGACGAAGCGGCCAGCGCTGGGCGAGCCAAAGTTCGTTGCGGTGGACATAGAGACATGGGAGCTGGATCATGCGCTCGTGACGGAGGTCGGCGTGGCGAGTTTGCGGTATCTTCAGTCGGGCAAGATGGTGACTGAGGCGCGGCATCTGGGTGCGTTCGCTCGCTTCTCCCGCTTGCTGCTCAGGGTGCTCATGCCTTGTTTTCAACAGTCCTTCAAGAGAACTCGGACAAGCGGAACGGGCGTTACTGTCCCGACGCGCGCGACTACTTCCAGCTCGGTCAGACGGTCACCCTTCCTCGCCAACGACTAGCGCGCGAGCTCCACGACACCCTATTCCCCTCCGACGAGCTCGCCGGACCCATCATCCTCCTGCTCCACGACCACCGCAGTGACTCCAAGTCGCTCGCCTCGCTCGACGTCGACCTCAACAAGTACGAGCGGAACCCGCTCCTTCCTCCTCCCGAATCGCCGCTCTACAACCCTCCAGATTCCTCCGACGCCATCCCCGACTCTCCACCCTGCTTCCTTCTCGACACGCAAAGACTCTTCTCCGGCTTCTCCCGCCGAAAGCGCCAGTCTCGCCTCGAAGACGCCTGCCGCGCGCTCGGTATCGTCCTGCCCGGCAACGAGCCTATCGCATATCACAACAGCGGGAACGACGCATGGGTCACGCTCCAGGTCTTCCTGCGCCTCATGCAGACGCCGATTGGCGAGACGGCGGACGAGGTCAAGCCTGCGGGCTGGACGCCTGGCGGGAGGTGAGAGCGAAGACGGCACATAGACAGTCTTGCAGTTTCTCTTGTTGTTGCACTTCACGCAGTTCGTCAATCCTGATACTGCTGGAGATGCGTGAGGTTGCGTTGCGAGAGAACGGTGCGGAAAGACTACAAACAACAGGAGTGAACAGAGCTCGCACAGAAAACAGATCTAGCGTCTAAGGCGACTCGACGAACTCCTCGTCCGCCTCCTTGCGCGTCCGCCGCTTCTTCGGCTTCTCCTCACTAGCCTCCCCGTCGACCTCGCCCTCTGCGTCGTCCTCGTTCACCTTCTTGCGAGTGCGCCGCCTCTTCGGCTTCTCCTCCCCTGCTTCAACGCCCTCTTGCCCACTCGCGTCCTCGCCTGCCTTCTTGCGCGACTTTCGCCGCTTCGGCTTCCCTTCGACATCTTCCCCGTCCACCGCCTCGCCCGCTGCCGCTGCCGCCTCCTCCTTGCGCGTCCTCCGCGCGCGAACCGTCGCAATCAGCTGGTCCGCCTTCTTCTGCGCCGCCGCTCGCTCCCTCTCCGCCTTGTTCTCGACCTTGATCCGTTCCTGCTCAGCCTTCTTCCGCTCCGAGGTGACCTGCCGCTCCTCCTTCTTGATCGTAGACTGCGTCCGTTTCCAGTGCGCAATCGCGCCGTGTCTGCAGCGCGAGATGATGTCGCTCGCCTGGCCCTTCGTGAGACCGCCCGGCCGCATGATGTCGACCTCGACGTCCATGGGCTTGCCGACCCAGACGCCCGAGATCGTCGTCTTGCCGTTCTCGCGATCCTTCTTTGGGATGAGGCGGTTGATGATCATCTCCTTCTGCCGGTCGGTCGCCTCGCCTGACCGCCACTTGGCGTACCGCCCAAGACCGTACGTCTTGAACGTGCGGTGGTTCTTGAGGTACGTGTCGGCCTTGAGGAGGCACTCGCGTGGCGAGTAGCCGGTCGCGATGGTTTGGCTAAAGACGGCCTGCGACTTGCGCTCGCCGACGTTCGGGAACGAGCGGAAGATCTGCGCCATGAACCCGTGCTCCGGATGCGGCGACATCTTGACCCACCCGCTGTTCATGAGCTGCAGGATGAACACGTTGTTGCCGCAGCCGACCCAGGCGTTGCGTGACAGCCGAGCGACCGAGTTGCCGCCTTCGCCTGTCCAGCGCCGCATTTCGGGAGTGACGTTCTCGCCCGTCTTCGGGTCACGCGGGTTGGCGAGGTGCTCGACGAGGTCGAAGGCGGTCGTGAAGTGCTGGTACTGGATCGAGTGGAGTCGGCGGACGGGACTCTTCTCCTCCTCTTCCTTCTCCTCGCCCTCCTCTTCCTCCTTGTCCATCTCCTCCAATTCCTCCGTCGACTTGCCTGCGCAGACCGGCGACGGTAAGCGCAAAGAGGTTGCGAGCATCCGAGAAAGCAAAGGCAAGCTTACCGATGATCTCAGTATCCGGGTCCAGCCCAAACAGCGTCGGCGTGCACATCATCCCGCCGCTCCTCTCCGCCGAACCGAGCAAGTCGATGATCAGGCAGTCCTTCTTGTCTGTGTGAGGCGAGAGCCGCAAGCCGCGACCAATCATCTGAAGGAAGAGGTTTTGCGATTTGGTCGGGCGTGCGAGGAGGACGCAGTCGATCTCGGGAAAGTCGGCTGTGAGGAAGCTCAGGAGATTCAGCGGCTGATGGCGGCCAGATAGAGGGCGCCAGCTGCTGCGCTCGAGACGTCCACTCACCTCCTTCCGTCAAGATCCCGTAATTGATGAGCACCGGATACTCGCCGGCCCTGAAAGCGCGGTACAGCTCAGCCCGATCCGCCTGCTTGGTAGCCATCGAGACGAAGCGAGCGTCGATGCCGCGCTCGCGGAAGGCGTTGGCGAGATTGACCGAGTGCGGGACAGAGGCGGCGAAGATGAGGGTCGAGCGGCGGTCTGCGGCGGCGTCACATTGATGAGAGCGTCAGCTATCGCCGAAGCAGAAGCGGGGAACGGCAGCGCCTGCTCACCCTGCGCCTTCTCGAACCAAGCATCGATCGCAAAGTTGTTGAACTCAGACTTGTCCATAGCGTTTGCAAGACTAGAAGGCACAAAGTCGCCCGTCTGGCGCGAGACGTCGACTTCGTCGAGGTTGAGGCGGTCGCCGAGGCGGATGGTGGTGAACTGCAGTTGCGAGAGCCTGTTTGTGCGGCAGCATGAGTGCAGAATCCGCGCATCGAGGGCGATTGAGGGAGAGAGGCAGACGCACCACTTCCCGCGAATCATGTCCAGCCACTCGCCATGCCAGACGATCTTCTCAAACACCTTGCCAAGCGCGATTCCGTCCGAGCGTCCCCACGTCGCGGTGAAAGCGATGAGCGGTACTCGTGCTCTTCCGAGCGAGTCGAGCTTGAGCGGGAGGGGATCCGGGTCTGGGTCGGGGATGGGCACGGGCGAGGAGGCGGCGACGGCGGCGGCGGCGGCGGGCGAAGAAGCGACTTCGAGGATGTCGTCGACCTCTTCTTCCTCCTCCGGCAGAGGCTCGAAACCTTCCTCCGCCTCGACCTCAGCAGCAGCCGCAGCCGACTGCAGCGCGTCAACCTCATCCTTCGACGTGATCCGGCTCGCCTTGATCATCTCCTGCGCCTCACCGGTCCCGCTGACCTCGCCCTCGAAGCGCTTCTCGATCTCCGAGTCGAAGCGAGAGAGAATCTCGATGTACGAGGGCGAAGCGGCGTGGTGGGCTTCGTCGATGATGACGGCTTTGTGCCGCTCCGGAATGAACTTCTCGAGTCGTGCGCAGTCGTCTCGCGCGAGAGTCTGTAGTAGTCGAGGTCGTGAGCGCGAAGATTGGAGGGGCGGGAGAGGCAAGCTGACCTGGAAAGTCGCGACGGTGACATGCCCCAATCCGCTTCCTCTGCTGTCGCCCTGTTCGACGTCTACAACCTGTGAATGGCTCAGAAGCAACCATCAGCACTGTACGATCCTTGAATCGTGTGTCAGCCTGCAGCCCGCAGGATCATACTCACCAGATCCGGATACGCCCTTCTGATAGCCTCGCCCGTTTGCGTCGCGAGCTGGATCGAGTTGACGATCACGAGGACTTGGTCGGCACGTTCGCCAGTGACGGGGTGTATCCGCGGCGGGATGAGCGAAATGAGGTTCGTGAACATGGCTGTTTTGCCGCTGCCTGCGGAGAGGAACCGTCGACTGGGTGAGCTCTCGTCCGCAGCTTGTCATAAAGACCTCCACAGCCTAGAGCACGTGCTCCGCTTCGCGGCAGACTAACTTGCAGCACGGCGCCGAAAGATGAATGATGCGAGCCGGGAGGACTCACCTGTCGGCGAACTGACACCCAACCGGCTGTACTCTCCCTTCTTCAGCTCGTCCAACACGCTGTTGACGCATTCCTGTTGATATGGTCGCAAGTTGAACAGGTTCCGCTGCGGTTTTGAGTCGCCAGAGGATCGGGGTGTGTGCGGTGGAGATGAGGAGGGTGGTCGAGAGGCGGCTGCTGCGGTTGCGAGGTGTCTGGACGGTATGATAGGTCGTTTATAGCGGGTCTCAATTGATCGTCCGGGTCTCTGTGCTGTGTGCAAGCTGAATCGTCGCGAGAAGGCTGGCGAGGAGGCGGAGGGTAGCAGTCGTCGCGGGGACAGAGCAGGTTGGGGTAGCAGCAGTCCAGGCAGCCGGACTGGCCATCCCAAGCCCCGTACGAGCATCTCCAAGCTGCCACCGCTGTCGAGGTGAGCGGTCGATGGTCAACTCACTCCTTTGAGACTGACATCGTCCTCGCTTCCGCTCACAACGCTTTCCGGTCTATCCTGCTTGGCCTGTCAGACGTTAGAGTACGTATACACCACGACTGGGCCTTGCGATGCTTCCTGGGCCTTGTGTCGTCCTGCGGGACCTTGTGGGGCGACGTCGAGTGATGAGGGATTCGCGGGCGACGAGGCCAGCGCAGCGGTACGATGGGCATTGCGGCGGATGGAAGAGAAGGACATGCAGGGTAGCGTCGCAACGATTCGCCTCAGGAGGAGCGAGGACCGTTGGACGCGCTCGTTCGGTCCTTCCGCGCTCTCGCAAACGCCGTTCCAGCGTTTCGCCCGGCACTGACGTTGTTGTTCTATCGTTCAGCAGATCATGCGGCTGCGCTTCACGTCTGCGGCGGCGGCCGTCCTCCTCTCCGCCCTTCCCGCTTCCTTCGCGCTTCCGACACTCTCGCCTCCCTCCCAGCTTCTCTTGCGACCGTCCGCTCCTCCGATCCCGATTGTCGTGCGTCCCTGCCTTTAGAGACGTCAAGAAGCTGCCGCGGTGCTGACAGTTCATCGACTTCCTCCCGCAGATCTGGCACGGACTGGGCGACCGCTTCGACGCACCTGGCCTGCAGTCGTTGAAGGCGGACCTCGAGGCGACCGAGGGACTCGAAGGCGTCTTCGTACACATCGTGGAGGTGGGAGCAGATGGGCCGGCTGATCAGTGCGTCCTTCTCTCCGGTTGCGCTCTCCTCGCAGCGTTCGAAAGCGGAGCCAGACGGACGTCGCGTCCCATATTCCGCCTTCCGCAACACTGACGATGTCATATTCGCAGGAAAGCGACTTTCTTCGGCTCAGCCAACGCTCATGTCGCCCAAATCTGCGCCCAACTCGCCTCTCTCCCCGAAATCACCGATCCCGCTTTGAACCCCTCGCGCATGTTTGACGCGCTCGGCTTCTCGCAAGGAGGTCAGCTCTTGCGCGCGGTGATTGAGCGGTGTGATGGAGAAGGACTGGGAGGTGTCAAGGCGAGGAATCTGGTGACTGTCGGAAGTCAGCATGTGCGTCGAAATCTGTCGCGAGCCAATCAACGTTGCGGTGCGCGAGTCATCCGTCACATGCTGATCTGTGCCATGTCTGTCGACGCAGATGGGCATCTCCGCCCTTCCTCCTTGTTCACCCGGCTCCTCCCCCTTCTCTCCCTGCCGTCTCATGCACCTCTCACTCGTCCGCTCCTCCATCTACTCGCCCTGGGCACAACAAAACATCATTCCCGCGCAGTACTTCCGCGATCCAGCGCGGATTAATGAGTACCTCGCCGCGAACGAGTTCTTGAAGGATATCGACAACGAGCGGGAGGGCGATAGGCAGGTTGAGCAGGGAGAGAGGGTCGGTGGTGTCGAGGTTGAGCCGCGGAATCAGACCTACAAGGAGAACCTGATTAGCTTGAACCGCTTCGTCATGTTCCGCTTTAGGTCCGTCTCCTTGAACTCCTTTGGTTTCAAGCTGTACTGACTCGCTCGATCGCAGTCTCGAACAAACTGTCGTCCCGCCTCATTCATCACACTTCACCGTCCCTTCCCCCTCCGCCTCCAACTGCCCGCGCCCGCCTCTCCCTCCCGACCCCTCCTGCTACCCCACTCCGCTTCCCTACTCCGACCTCCCGCTCTACGCCGAAGACTACATCGGGTTGCGCAAGCTCGACAAGCGCGGTGCGGTCGTGCTGGATGTCTGCGAGGGGCCGCACATGGACATTGACGAGGAGTGCTGGCGGAAAATCTCGAGGTGGTTCGGCGAGCGAGGTTGGAAGGGAGAGGAGGGCGCAGGGCTTGCGTAACTCTCCGATGTACTCTCAGTGCGCAACAAGTCCTGTTCGAAAAGCTGTATGGCATGCGAGAGAAGCTACGAAGAGCTGTCGTTGAGAGCGACGCAGATGCAGGCTTTGTGATGCGCCGAGTACTGTGCACGATCATCGAGGCAGATCAGTCTATGCCGTCTTGTGGCGGCAGGAGAGAAAGAGCTCGAGTTCCCACGTACCTGTCGAACGGTCGTCCCGCTCGAGAGCTCCCATAATCGCGCCGTGTGGTCGGAACTCGCTGCGGAGGACAGATTGCGCGTCAGCGGCGAGCTCGCTCCGTAATATCGAGCTGCCCCGCGACGCGACGACGGCGAGCAGGGGCGGCTTCAAGAGGGAGAGCTGGACGCACCCGAAACGAGATAAGCCGAGTCCGCCGAGTACGCCATGTCCCATACCCACCGCTGATGCCCCTGCAGCACCTTCTCGAGCTGGTACCCTGTCCCGTCCGCAATCCCGCCTCGCGCATACAGGTTGTTCGGATCTGCTTGAGCGGCGAGGGCGGCGGCTTGAGGCGAGAGGATGGGCGTCCATATCTTGATGGTCGTGTCGGCGGAGCAGGTGGCGAGTTGTCTGAGCGTACTGCGTCAGTACGAGCGAGAGGAAAGAAAGGCGACGGGCGCACTTGGTATCAGGCGAGACGAGCACCCGGATGAGGTACCGCGAATGCGCTTGGAAGCGCGTCTTCGGCTGCAGATCGGTGAATGCGAGGCCAGGTTGGATGGTCCAGACGTAGACGACACCCTGAAGATGCGAGAGAAGCATGAGCGAGCGGAAGCTGCGCTGGCGAGCAACTGGAAGCGTACCTTGTGGTTCCCGCCGACGAGCGCGGAACCATCTGAGGCGATGGAGACGGATCGCATCGGTACGTCCTCTTCTGGAAGCTGTATCAAGGCGAGAAGGAGTGAGTTGCGGTTTCCATCCGTTCGAACAGCTTCTGCCATCGACATGCACTCGCCGAGAAGTACTGAAACGTAGAGCTCGACAACTCACCAGCTCGTGACTACACCGGTCACCTCCCAAGTCCCACACCTTGATCGCGCCGTTCTGGTCGCACGAGACGAGCTCGCCCTGGTTCGAGTGCAGCGCGAGGTCGTTGACGGGCGCGAAGTGAGCGTAATTTCGCTGCGGCGAGGACGTTCTGCGGAAGTTGAGGAAGTGTCAGGACACGAGCATCTGGGACTACGCGGACGGGAAGCAAAAGCTGTCGGCGAAGCGGATCTCGCGACTGACCGAACATCCCAGATCTTGACCGTCCCGTCTTCGCTCCCGCTCACCAGCCACTTCGCCTCGTTCTGCCACGCCAAACTCGTCACGTTCGCCGTGTGACCTTGCAGTGTCACGAGCTATACGAGAAACACAAGAGCGAGGTCAGCTCCTACCGTCCGCGGGGAGAGAAGACCCAACTTGTCCACGCACCGGCGCTACATTCGTACTGCTCGCCGCCGCACTCTGCGCGATGTCGTATAGCTTGACTGTACCGACGCCTGCTGCCGCGAGGAAGCGCTTGTTCGGAGAGATGGCGAGGCGGTTTGGTTGCTGCGGAGTCGCAAGCGAAGTCAGCGTCCGGCGGCTTCCAACGCGGAATGGACCAAACGCTACGTCCACGGCAGGGGAGCGAAGCGGCGAGGAGCAGAGGCAGGAATGCGGACGCACATGGTCTTGCGTCTGGATTGTTCGGCTGCAGATTCCCGACCATGCCTCCCAGTATCTGCGAGAGACAGACGAAGACTATGATCAGCGCTGACGTCTGCGAACACCGCCGTTGCTCGCAAGCGCGAGCCTCATCATTGGGGAAAAGCGAGAGTACACCGTCCAGCCTCGAACACCTCGTCGCCCTTCTGCGCGCGGAGAACCTGAGCTCACCGTATAGTCCCATCGTAGCTCCCAGTCACCAAGATTACGCTCAGTGCATCCGCAGCCGCGCTCTGCTGGACCTGCTGCTGTTGCGCCGCTTGTGGGGGAACGCCAGGCTGGGTCGCTTGAGGCGGGAGGTGGGCGGTCTGAGGAAGGTGTACGCGAGTCGGCATGGCGGATCAGTCGCGGTAATGAGCGGATGGTTCAAGGGAAATTGCTGCTGAGTGGGGAAGGACGAGGTCAGACGAGGTCAAACGAAGCAAGCAGAGACTCTGCGACGCACGCGGTGACTTTGGAAGAGATGACGAGCTTCCTGAACAGCCTCGCAAGCCGGCAAACTGGCTGTGTCGAGGAGGATGGCGGGGAAGAGTTCGCGAGAGATGAGGGGGAGAGGCGCGAGATAGGCGTCGTAAGAGCGGGAGAGGGCGGCAAGAGTGCGGCAGATAGCTCAGGCAGAGCTGATGAGCTTCTCTTCGAGCCCGTCAAGCGATGTGTGCGAGGTGAGCGTGGTGTCGAAGGGAGAGAGCGGCGACGGCGACGACGAGCGAAGCCCTAAAGCTTCATTCGAGCCTCGCCAGAACGGCAGGAATAGCTGACGACGACTCAATGCCCTTGCAACAACATACGAGATCCAACGAGCTATAGCGGCGCGAGTAAACGAGATCTCCAGTTCAGTCTTCCGCCTCTTCCGCCTCGTCTCGCGGATTCACCCACCCCCTGGAGCCCCTCCATCCTTCCTTCTGACCCACGAGGAAGGCGTGGTCGCAGATCATGTCAGCGCTCGGTCGGTTCGCGGGGTCGATCTCCAGACAGCGCATGACGAGGTCGACCGCGTCTGCAACGCTGAAAGTTGACGGCTCATCCGACGTCGACGACGAGCTAGAGGCTGATGACGACGTCGACGACGAGATCTTAGACCGCATGGCGGCATAGGCGCGAGTGTCGGAGGAGATGCCCTGCATCGCTTCGTCCGGCGACCAGAACGGGCATTCGCCTAAGCGACGACTCGAGTCAGCATAGAGGTCGGCGGGCGAGAGGTAACGCGTGCGCACCGCAGATCAAGACGTAGCCGAGGACGCCCAGCGCCCAGATGTCCTGCTCCTTGCCGCCGTACCGCGCGCCCTTGAGGACCTCGGGAGCCGCGAAGCTGCGATAGGCAGGCGAGACAATCAGTCCACGCGAAAGTGTATCAGAGAAGTGTTCGCGCACTCGAGCGTCCCGGAGAACGTGTCAAACTTGCGACCCTCCTTGACGTACGCCGCCGAGCCGAAGTCGATCAGCCGGACGTTCCCATCCGCATCGAGCGTGACGTTCTCGTCCTTGATGTCGCGGTGCACAATCTGATGTTCGTGTAGGAACCAGACTGCGTCGGCGACCTGCGAGAGGATGCGGTGGATGTCGCGTGGAGGGAGGCCGTCGGGATGGGCGTCGACGTAGTCGAAGAGGTCTTGGCCGTGCCGAGGGTGAGAGTCAGGGTCGGATGTCGGCGAGGCGGTTGCTTGCGGCATGACCTGTGGGCACAATAGAAGTCAGCCAAGGTCGATGGAAGAGAGCGGGAAGAGGACTGACGAGGAAGTAGAACTCCGAGTCCTCCCAGTAATCGAGCAGCGGGCAAATGTTCGGATGCCCAGTCTGCACAACCCCGCCATCCTTCCCGCCGGTCCACAAGTCCAGCTTGGGCGCCGAGTCCCGCCTCACTGGCGTCCCCTTCTTTGTGATCGTCCCGTTCCGCCCTCGCCGCTTCGAGAGAAAGTTGAGCCGTGGCCGAGGCTCGTAGGGGACGCGGCGGAGGTGGTCGAGGACGTGCACCTCGATCGGAATCGGGCCGAGGATCTTGTGCTTCTTCCAGCAGTCGGCGAGGATCCGTTGCTTGATCACGTACTTGATAATCAGCTCAGGCTGTGCGTACCCCATGTGAGCCAATCAGAGTAAGTCAGCGCGTCAGTTGCGAAGAGGGAAGCTCAACAACACTGCGAACGCACCCCGACAGGCTTGCCGTCCTTGCCCTTCTCCCTCGCTCTCCGCACGCTCCCGTACGCACCCTTGCCCGCCTCCTCCTCGTCGCAGACGAAGCTGCGAATGTCCCGTGCGCCCGTCACAGCCGAGTACGTCCGCGGGTCAACCGGGCCGAGCGGTTTCGTCCAGTCGAGGTCGACAGCGGCGCCGCTTCGTCCTGCTACATCCTGCGAATCGTCGCCGGAGGGAGGCGCGATGTACGGAGTAGGCGGGAGGGAGGCAGATGCGGGAGCGGTCGAAGCGAATGGGTCGCCGTCGAAGGGTGTTGCAGCGACCGAAGGCGGCGTAGCGAGTCCTGTGTCGCGCAAACTTGGCTCTCCCTCCTCGAGCGAGCGGAAGACGCTCGGAGGGAGAGGCAGGCTCGGCAGGCCATGCGGCTTGGTCGGTCGAGGCTGCGCAAGCTCGACCGTCCGGTCCGAGTCTTCCGTCGAGGCGGGAGTCGCCGTGCCATTCGTCGACGAGTCAAGCGATCGAGGTGGCGAAGTCGAGCTGAGTGAGCCGGTGGCGCTCGAGAGCGATCCGCGAGACAAGGCTGGTCGCTGGTGAGTCGACGTCGACTCAGCCGTGACGTGCGAGAGGGCGAGGGATGGGTCGCTCTTCTGCCCCTTTCGGTGCGTCGGCTCGAAGGTGTCGATCGAGGGAAGCGGATCGGTAAGAGGCGAACGAACGGGATGCGTGCCGGTGATGGACGAGATCGAGTTCGTGTTCGAATGCGAGGTGAAGCCTCCCGTCACACCCGAGCCGGTTGACGTGTAGGAGAAGGAGGACTTGTACGTCGAAGGCGCCGGTCGAGATGGGTGCGCATCGTCTTTCGGCTTGTTTGACGGCGAATTGGAGCGAGAGCGATCCGGCGGCGTGTGCGGTAGCTGGTGTCCGTGTTTGTACTTGCCGTACTTGGACAGCGAGAGCGAGAGCGCAAAGTTGTCCTCCTCGTCGTCGCTCGACGCATCGTCCTGCAGAGACGGCCACCGCTTCCAGCGCGGTTTCCGTTGCTCCTCGTCTGGCTCGGCAGCTCCAGCCTCGCCCTTCTCTGCCTCGCACTCCATCCGCCCCTTCTCTTCCCGAGCTCGCATCGAAGCCAGCTCCGACAACTCGCTCCCTAGAACCCTCCACTCCTCCGTCGTTGGCGTAGGCACGAGTCCCGAGTCCTCCAGGCCATGCGCTTCTGAGAACGGAGCGCTCAGCCCGAAGGTCTGCAGCGACAACACGCCGCCCGTCGCCGTCGCCCGCCTGGAGCTCGCTCGACTGCGGTTCCGCGACGGAGGGAGCGAGGCAGAGGCGAGGCGAGGCGAGATCTGGCTTGCACCGGCCTCGATCTCTCCTGCTGCACGCGTACCGCCTGCACCGCTACCCCAGGAGCCAGAGTAGCCCGAGGGACCCGCACCGGCGTTGGTCGAGGACGGGCCGAGCGAGAAGCCCGCGCCTGGCGAGAAAAGGCTTTGGCTTCGCGCGCTCGCAAAGTACGGCGCCGAAGCCTGTCGTCGTTTCTGCTGGATAAACTGCGCAAGGGAGGTGGATGTCGAAGGGAAGGAGGATTGGGCGGGAGTAGCTGGATCGGTCGGCGGAAGAGAGGTGACGGGCGAGGAAGTGCCCGATGACGGGCGGGACGCGTTCTGGTGGACAGACGTGGCAGGCGAAGAAGACGCGGCGGGAGACGCAGGGTCGGACTCGACGGTCGGGAGGACGTTCAAGGCGGCGATGGCAGAAGGAAAGGTCGACCGCCTGTCCTTGATGCTTTTGGACGACGTGCTCCGCGACATGCCCCCCGCTGCGCCGTCCGCACTGGCACTCACTCTCCCTCGTCCGTCTGCGCTCCGTTCGTCTGCGTCGGACCCATCCTCGCTCGACTCGATCGCCTCTCCGCGTCGTCGTTCGACGCTGGCCGTACTTCCGCCTGTACTCCGCCTCTCCCGCGCGCGGTCCCGCGAGCCTGATGCGAATGGCAGGGGTGTCGTCGGCGTCACGGGTGAGAGAGCGAGGGAGGCCAGAGTCGCGATCTGAGAGGATGATCGGCTGTGTTGTCGAGAGAGTGGGGCGAAGGACGGTCGACGAGGCGCTTCGGCCGGCGGTGGAGGAGGAGGGGACATGCTGGCGACGAAAGGCTCGCTTTGCAAGCGCAGGTAGCCTTCAGAGAGCCGTGAAGGCGATCGAGAGGGGGTGCTGTTGCGGGCGAGTGGGAAGATCTCGTCAGCTGGCGTTCGCCGGGCCAAGTTCGGCTGGTTCGTGGTGCAGCACGTCTTCTGTCCAGCTCCAAGTGTCATCCGACCTCGAGAAGCCTCGCCGCCGCCTCGCCGGTACGTCCGTGGTCGGTCCTGCTCGACCCCCTTCTCGCCGGCCACGACGCCCTTGAAAGCGTAGCCTGACGTACTTGATGTTGCTAGACCTCCTCGATAAGCCGTCTCACGCTAGCAGCAAGTTCCGTCTAGGTCGTCGTCGTCCAGTTGTTCGCTGTTCGATGTTCGCAGATCTCGGTGAAATCAAGCCGTCTTGACAACGCTCTTGCAGGAGCACTGCATTCGTCGGCGACTGTGTCGAGCTAGCTTGGTCGACTGGACAGGCGCGCTGAGCCGATGAGCAGAGTCGAGCGGGCGGTTCGTGAGAGAGCGAGGTCCAGCGACTTGCGAACTGACAAGAGTCGCAGTGAATGAATAGACCACTATCAAGCTGGGTGCGTCGCAGTCAATACGTTCTATGCATTGCGGAGACGTATAAAGACGAAGGAAGACCACCGCGTCTACAGTTTCCCCTCGACCCGCTCCGACGTCCTCGTCTCTTTCGGCGCGGCCGTCGGCAGGTTCTTGTACGCGTCCGACTTGGTCGCGCTGATCTCGAGGCCCGTTGAGTCGTCGATACCGTCTTCGGCGATTTCCTCTGCGGGAAGAAGGGAGGTGAGCGCGTTTCTTCTCGAGGAGCACGGGAAGAGAGGCACGCACCGACGAAGGAAAAGTCCCAGCGGCGCTGTAAGCAACCCGAAGTTGAAATTAGCCACAGAACTCCGATCCTGCACAGTGGACGAAGACGCGACAGGGTGGAACAGGGCGACTCACCTCCTCGCCGCGCTTCATGAAGTCAGTCCTGCCGTCCCACTCCCTCCTCCACCTCACCGCGCCCTCCGCACTCCCCTCCCCGTCCCTCACAAACTTGCTACAAGCGCAAGTCGCAGCACCAACAACCAACCTCTCCTCGTCCCTCCACAACCCCAATTCCTCCACCTCTCCCGGCTCAGGCTCTCTCCCGCCCTCTTTGCCTGGCACGCGCAGGACACTTGGGTCGTCCAAGTCGCCTGCCAAGGCGCGACAGAGACCGATCTTGGTCGCTGCGTGGCTGAAGACAATCACCTTTCGCACGCCGCGCGCGGAGAGGGCGGTGGTGAGGCGCTGGGAGAAGGCGAGTGTGCGCGCGTGGAGAGCGCGCATGGACTCGCCTACTCGGGGAGGGGTAAGGAGGGGAGTCCATGGAGAGTAGGGCGTGAGAGAGGTGGAAGAGGAGGAGGAGGGCGAGGCGGCCGAGTCGTCGACGAGGGGGAAGTAGTCTTTGAGGAACGAGGGCGAGGCGAGCGCTGGGTGCAGGCCGCGTCGGACGGGGAGGTACCATTCGGCTGTGTATGAGCGAGAGGGAGTCAGCCTCCACTGCGACAACGTACATACCGGGGAAAGCCACGAGGGCTCGTCCGCTAGCAAGCCTCGAGCAGTACGACCGGACTCACCCAGTCCTGGCTCGATGAAGATAGGTACACCGAGCGCTTCTGCTGTTGGTGTCGCCGTCTGGACGCAGCGGTAGAGGGGGCTGCGGGAGAGACTCGTCCGATGTCAGCGAGCCTCCGTTCTGCGGATTCAGCAGGGCACATGGAGCGACGCAGCCGCTCAGGGTCCCACAAGCAGCAAACGAAAGCCCACTCACGAACTCAACACCACGACCCCCTCCTCCCTCGCCTGTCCCTCCCTCTCAATCCCCAACTCGCGCTTCAAGAACCCCGCCAACTCTTTCGCCTGATCCACCCCATGCGCCGACAAAGGCGGGTCGCGCGGAATGCCGGTCGGTGATGCCCAGGTTTGGGTCTCCCAGGAGAGTCTGAGGGAGATGAGGTCAGTTCAGCGGGAGGGGCGGGCTGAGAGGAAAGAGGACGCACCGGAAGCCGTGTCTGCAGACGTAGATCGCTTCGAGTGTCATGCTGGCGGCGTTGCGAGCGAGTGTGAGGCGGAAGAGGTGCCGAGGAGTTGGTTGCCGGGCGAGGAGGGGAGGGGAGAGCTGAGTGGATGTGGGAGGGCGTTCAGGTAGCAGTCTAGCGTCTCGTGAGCTCTGTATAATATGTAGCAAGTCCAGCAAGCGAGGAGCGCAGAGCGAGTGAAGGAGAGGAAGCCAAGGGACGAGGAGGAGGAAGCGGGTGAGCCGGTACGCTCGAAGGGCGCATCTGGGCCTTGGAGAGGAACACGGAGCAGTCTTCAAGCTCAAGAAAGCGACGAGGAAGCGAAAGAAGCAGTCGTGAGGGAGCGAGCCCTCCCAAAAGAGACCTTCGCAACTCGCTCGCGACGACCATGGCGAAGTAGGCAGCAACCAGCTGCATTTCCGACGTTCGATGCGTCGCATATGATACTCAGATGACCGTCCAATAAGTAGAAACGAACGAAAGACCGGAAGGCTCGAAGGAGGAGGAGAAGGGTATCGAGGAGGGGAGCGTCGCCGCCTCACATAGCGCCCTTGATGAGGTTCCACGCAGACGGTCCAATCGCCGCAATGTACTCGGGCGTACCAGGCTGGGTCGAGACGCCAAGCGTCTGGTTGCACTGGTCGAGCTTGAGCGTGCCGTTGAACGCGGAGTCGAGGTAGTTGTAGGCGTCGGCGGTCCAGACGACGGCCGCGACGGTGTGGTTGAAGCCCGGAGCGGACTCGAAGAGGATCTTGGCGCCGCGATCGCACTGCGACTTGACGTACGCCGGGACGGGCTTGTCTGCGGGCGGAGGAGAGAGTCAGCTTCCGCGAGTTCGACGAGGGCTGGACTGGTCCCGCCACGCACACGAGACGATGTTGTCGGTGATCGAGTGGTACATGAAGGTGGGGATGTGGACGACACCGTCGGTTGTCGCAGCAGGCGAGATGTCCTGCTGGACGGGGTTTCCGAGCAAGCCGAGGTTCGTGTACTTGGCGGCAGTCGACATGTTGAGCGTCTGGCGTCCGTAGCGGAAGAACGAGTAGAAGCTCTGGTTGTACAGGACGGGAGCGAGCTGGGTGTTGCACAGCGAGCGGGCGGCCTTGAGCGCGGCGGTGCCGTTCGGGAAGAGCTCGCGCTTAAAAAAGTCGTCCAGCTCGGGGTAGGCGTTGGCGAGACCGGTCAAGGCGCCCCAGGCAAGGTAGGCGCCAGGGCTGCCGTCTGCGCGAAGGTACGATCGAGGTGATGGAGAGGTCTCGTCAGTTGCTGGGATTTCGGCGAAGCGAGATCACCGAACGCACTGAGGAGGTCGAGTGTCGAGAACGAGTCGACAGGCGTGCCACCGTACGCGGCAGCGACAACGTTCAATCCCTTTCCATAAGTCGAGAGGAACTGGTTCGCCCAGGCACTGGCGTGCGCTCCGCCCGAGTAGCCGTGGAGGACAGCCTTGTAGCCGTCCGTCTTGGGGAGGATGTTGGGGAAGTTGAGCATGGCGCGGAGACCGTCGATGACGCCGAAGGCCTCCTGGACGCCGGCGATGTAGGCGGCCTTGGGCCCTTCGTGGTCCGGCACGGCAACGTACCATCCCTTGTACAAGCCGGCAAAGACGTCGATAGCGACGGCGGAGAGGATAAAGTCGGTCGCGTTCGAGCCGCCCCCGTTCTGCAAGGCGTACGTGACCTCGCAGTCGCGGCAGGCAGAGTCGATCGGCGCGGCGAGGACCATGATGCGAGGGGGCGACGCGGGCTTCAAGGGGGCGTAGAGGGTCGCGGCCGTGACGGCATCCTCGCCCGTCGCGAGGGTCGTCTTGTCTGCGAAGGTGGACGGACGACTTTGGGTCAATTCTGGGCTTCGAAGACCGCACAATCGCCCGCACTCACAGAGGACCTGATACGCCGCCGACGCCTCCGAGTCAAAGGGCGTCCAGACGGGACGAGCCTTGAAGACCTGGCCGTTGTCGGCGCGCTGGAAACCGTTTGGGGCCTGGTAGAACGGGTCCTGCGAGGGCGGGGTGGTCGTGCCGGCGGGCTGGAGTGCAAGGTTGCGCTTCGAGAGCGGCGAAGCAGACGCAGCGGTCGCCGCGAGAGCGAGGGCGAGGAGAGGAGTGCGCATGTTCAGCGACGGGGGGAGACGAGGGGCGGGCGAGGAGAGACGGTTCGAGCAGGCTCAAGATGCGAGTCTTTGACAAGTTCCTGTGTCGCTGGAGAACTTCAGCGAGAGAAAGAGAGAGAGAGAGAGAGCGAGATGCGGAGGAGAGGAAGGTGCCCCGCAACATTGCTCCGGGGCGACAAAGCGGACGCCGGACATTTCTCGCCAGCGACGCCTGCTCACGCGGTGTGCAGCAGCCAAATCAAGACTCGTAAAACGGCACCGTCGTCGGCTCACGAGAGCTGATCCGGCGACGAGGCCGACGGAGAGAGACGTGCCGCGAGCAGCGATCGCAGCGGAGCGACGGCGGCGGCGGAGATGCTTCGTTCAGCATGCCGTCTGTGGCCAGGAAGAGCAGGCAGAGCCACGCTAGGATCGCACGGAAAGCGGGAAAGGAAAACGCACCCCGAACCGCAAACCGCTCGATCCGCCCACGCGCCGACGAGGGTGAAAAGAGGCAAGCGTTGCAGGGGCAGAGGCAAAGACAACAAGCGACAGAGCGACAAACCCGAGAGAGAACAAAACACAACCGAGAACCGGAAACAAGCGCACGCCCTCAGTACCCGAACTGATCCCGCCAGTTCTCGCCATAGTCGCGCTTCATCCGCTCGTTCATCTGGTCAATGTCGGCCTGCACCTCGGCGACCGTCTTCTTCTCGCTCGACCCGGTGCGAGCCATGTCGAGCGAAGGTCGTCCCACAGGGCCGCGAGCTCCGGCTGCCCGCTGCCGCTGCCGCTGCTCGAGGAGGCGGATTGTCGTCGTCCGAGTCGAGCGTCAAGTCGAGCACCTCGTTCGCACGACTCGCGAGACCGTTCGCACTCGCCGACGAAGCGGGCGTGCCCGTTCCCGACGCAGTCGTCGGCGCCGTCCCGCTCACCCTCGACCGCTTCGCAGGACGCTCGTCGTCCTCGTCCGTGTCCGAGTCGAGCGTGAGCGCCTCGCTCGCCATAGCCGACGACGCGCGTGCCTTGCCCTTCCCGTTAGCGACGCCGTTGAGCGAGTTGAGCTTGCCAGGATCGGGCGCCGTGACGGGCGTGTTGCGACCAGAGCCGGCGGCAGAGGCGGGCGCCGTCCGAGGCTTCGCCGTGCCGTGCTTGTTGTCGTCCGAGCGCCACGTGCCGTCGGGCTCGACCGTCACCGACTCGACAGACGACGGGCAGATCTTGAGGATGTCCTCGAAGTAGCTGCCAACGGGGGACAACCCGTCAGCTTGAAACCTCGGTCAGGAGGAGCGAGCGAACGCACCCGTCGACAACGATGTCGTCCACCTTGAGGGTCTTGTTGCAGATCGGACACTGCCACTGCGGCGTCTGCTCGTTCATCTCGAACCAGATCGACGCGTCGAAGCAGGCGATGTGGCTGCAGTGTGCCGAGCGGATCGGGATCGCTATCCGCAGGAACGAGAGCTACCAAAGGAGCGTTGTGAGCGAGACGAGGCACGGAGAAAGCGGAGGAAGGGAAGCGTACGGGATCCTTGAGGTCGAGGCGGAACGAGCTGGCTTCGACGTCCTCGTCCGAGTTCAGGTCGACGACTGTGCGGCGAGCCGAGCGTCAGCGAAGCACTACAAAGGAAGATCTCGGCGCCACTCACTGCTCTTGATGACGTCCTCCTTCGACTTGGTCTTGCCCGACTTGACCTTTCCGACGACCGTTTCGACGGGCGTGTACTCGACGAGGTAGCAGACGAGGAAGTACAGTTTCTCCGTGTTGATGTAGATGACTTCGACGCGGTTCGTCGATCCCGCCGTCGTCAGCACGGTCGCGCCCTTGCCCGCACTGAGGTTGACAGGCGGCGCCGTCCCAGGCTGCTTCTTGATGCCCTTCGTGTTCGCCGGAACCGTCACTCCGTTCAGCTTGATCTCGCACGTCCCGGGGAACTCGATCGGCGCAGGGAACTGGTTCGCCGTCGGCCGGTGCAGGTTCCAGTTGACGTCGGACGTGCAGTAGAGGCGAACTTGGTACTGCGGGTTCGAGGGCGACTCCTTCGCCTTGGCGAGGAGCGCACGCTGCGCCTCGGTGAAGGTGAACGAGCACGTGCCGACTTTGCGGTCGCCCTGCGGGGCCTTGGTGAGCGTGACGACGGTCGAGAGCGCCTTGTCGATGCGGTAGAAAGGCGAAGGGCGGAACTTGATCGGGATCTCCTCGAGACGCTGATTCTGCCACGAGCCGGACCCGCTCGCTCCTGCGCCGCCGCTGCCCGCACCGAACTTGGGCGGAGGAAGCCTGTTCGAGACGCCCGCGCCGTACGCCGCGCCGTATCCCGCTCCGGAAGCGCCGTACCCTGGGGAGCTTCCCGCACTCCCGGCGCCGTAGTCGTTCCCGCCTGCGTACCCGTTCGCGCCGAGCCCGCTCCCGCCGGCGCCGCCGCCGGTGTAGACCCACGTCCCGCGTGATCCGCCGCCGGCGCCACCCGTCGTGGGCGAGCTGTAGGGCGCCGTGCTGGAAGAAGTCGGCGGTGCAGGGTCATGAGCGGGCGTGCGTGAGGTGGAAGTGGACGACGACGACGCGGACGAGCGCCGCCGGTGAGAGGGAACGTACGACGATGCGGCTTCGCTGATCAGCCGCTTGCACGTGTAGAAGCGCGTCTTGTCGGGGCGGCTGTACTCGCTCACGACGACGTCGAGGAGGGACTGGTACTGTGTGAGGATGCGAAAGGACGATCAGGTCCTGCGAGACTGGTGGGGAGCGCTGACCGACTTACGAGGTCGTTCTTCTTGCCCGTCACCCGCAGGTTGGTGAACAGCTTGTTGTTGATGCTGCGAATCGCGTTCTTGAGCCGGTCGACCGTCATGTACTGGAGGTCGCGGGTAGCCTCGGCGTACATCTGCGCGAGTCGAGTTGGAGTGTGAGTTCCGACGGATCGTCGCGAAGTGTCGTTTCTCCGACTCACCGCGCTGTCGGACGACATGCCGGGCGCTGGAGGCTCGAACTTGCGCTGGTCTCGAAGCTGGGCTTCGCAGGGAGGCGAGTCTTGACGGGGGAAGCTGGCCGGCGGTTCGTAGCGAGCAGCGACGGATGCAGTCGAGCTAGGTCTGCTGGAAGCGGCGGACGCGACAGTCGGTGAGGGAGAGATGGAAAGCGAAGGCGAGGGCTGTTGGCGAGGCGGAACTTGGACGCGGGGATCGGCGGCGGGCTGGGTGACAGTGACGGTGGCGCGTGGAGGAAGCGGAGCGCCGGGACGAGGTGGAGGAGCGTAGGGCGAGAAGGCGTAGGGGTAAGGATTCGGCGGAAGTCCGTAGATAGGCGGGTGCGGCGGGGCGTGGTGCGTGTAGATGACGCTGCCTGGCGGGGCTGGCGGGGCGGGGTAGGCGTATTGAACTGGTAGACCGGTTCTTGGATCGATGGAGGGGTAGACAGGCCAGTTGCCGTTCATGCAAAAAGGGCGCGAGGGACGAGGCGAAGGGAGCTGTGGGAACGACGTGCAAGGTCAGCCGGTCAGCGCTGCTCGTTCGAGTGCGTCTGGCTTGAAGGTCTGCTCGCCCTGCGTCCCACCAGCCCGGCCTGCCGCCTCAATCCCTCATCACCGTTCGAGAGGAGGAGATGGAGCGGTGTGCGTTCCCTGACAACGCCGCACGGCCAGGTCAGGGCAGCAATACTCCCGAAGCACATTCACGCTCCACCAGACGCGCTCCACAGATAACGGACCTCGCCTGGCCCGTTGACATCGCGCCACCACCCTAGCGAAGAGGTCCGACCGGCCACGACTTGTCCAGAGCACGTGTATGACCAGCCAGGCCGACTCAGTGAGACTGTACGCACCCCTCTGTGGTACCGATCAAGCCCTGCGTCGAGAGAAGCAGCGACCGCGACGGCCTAGTGGGGACAGAGCTGGAGAGCCACGGCGACAAGTCGAGAGCGTGTCGTTCGAAGCTGCAGGCTGCGAGAGGGTGCTGCCCTAGCCAGCGAGCCAATCCAGGCGGCGTACTGAGCCGTGCGAGCGGTGGTGTCGAGCCAACCCTCTCCCGCTCGCTTCTCTCGCCTGAACTTGTCACTGCTCTCCCCTCGTGCGCGCTTGCTGGTGCTGACAAGTCGCGCAGCTGCTGATAGACCGCTTGCGACTCGGCTACAGGCGCTCCCTGCTCGTTTCGGCCTTGTCCTGTGCCCTGAAGTTCTCCCAGGCCGAATCGAAGGCGATCCTCTGAAGGAGGAGCACCACCGCTTGCTGGGACGGCGTTGCTTGCACAGAGCCATCCACAGCATACTCGACAACCGCACGCAGACGCCAGCAGCGCATCACGGCGCGAGGTGACGGGATTCACGCCGATCCTCCGTTCGGGACGCTCCCTCGTCGCTCGCTTGCACCATCGCAGTTCCGTACCGCCGCACCTTCGACCTCAGCACGACTGCCAGGAGCACGAACGGCCCACATGCTCGCGCGTGCAAGGTCAACGTCCTCGCAGTCCGTCCCATCTTCCCTCCCGCTTGCACGAGCTGCCCACTGACCGCCTGCACCTTCGCTCCCGCAGGAGCTCGCCGACCGGTACGATGCCCAGCAAGCCCGGAGTGCCCGCAGAAGACAGCCCGCCGCCGCCGTACTCGTCGCCGTCGTCCCAGTCGAGCGAAGACGCCCAACCTCCCGGAGTTCGTCGTGCCGCCTCGTCCGCACGGGTCGCGCGCCCTACCTACGACGACAGCGACGGTCTCTCCGAGCTTACGGTGTCTTCTGACGGAAGGCAGCCGAGCACGAGGCGTTCAGTCGCGCATCTTGCGGTCGTGACTGCGCATCCCGCTCCTGCTCCCGCTCATGCTGCAGACCCACACTCCTTCACGAACAGTGCCCCTTCCCTGGCACATCCCCACATTCCTTCGCAGTATCTGTATAGCTACCCCGCTTCTGGCTCATACCCTTCCCAGGCTTCGTTCGAGGCGCACCAGCACGCTTACGGCCGTTCGACCGCGAGTGCGTACCCTTACTCGACCGCCCCGACTCCGTCGACCTCGTCTTCGGCGTACTACGGTACCGAGTACCCCATCACGCATTCGCCGAGTCCGCCCATCGCCGTCGACCCGACCTCAACCTCGCCCGCCTGGCCGCCCGTCTCGCTCTCGCCAGCCGTGCCGTCGGGCTTCACGACCCTCGACGCCGGCCTCGCCGCCCTCTCGCTGACGCACTCGCCGCAGGGAAGCCCGCACGACGCCTACCACCCGCACTTGTCCGGCTCGCCCGACGCTTTCGCCCACTACGCTCACGCCTACCCGGCTTCCTACCCGTACTCGGCCCCGCCGTACCCGCAGCAAGGGTTCTTCTACCCTCCGCCGCACACGCAGGCGCACGCTCAGCCGTCGATGCCGTCGTACGCGCCAAACGGGTTCGCCGCCGCCGCTTATCCGTACAGCTCGACCTCGCTCGTCCCGCCGCCCTCGCACTCGCCCGACCTCGCTCGCCCCCGCACGCGCGGAGGCAGCATGTCCCCGCTCAGCGCGCAGCACATGGTCGCCACCGCCAGCCACGACTCGAATGACGAGTCCAAGTGGAGTCCGTTCAGGCGCAGCATCGAGGAGGGCGAGCACCCGATGAGTCGCGGGACGTGCAAGTTCTTCAACCCGGGCATTGTGCGTCCGTTGAGCGGGCAGTGGTGAGGCAGAGCTGACTTTCGCTCGTCCGCAGGGATTCGGCTACATCGTCGACGACAGGGCTGAAGAGCTCGGTACCGATGGTGCGCGAACGAGCTCGTTTTCTTCTCAAGGGCTGCATGCTGACTGCGTGACTCGCGGGCCCCGCGCAGTCTTCGTCCACTACACCGGCATCGACCTTCCTCGCGGCTTCCGCTGCCTCTCGCAAGGCGAACGCGTGAGTCGTCGGCCCCCATCTCAGCGCCGTACTGCTCGCTGAACTGCAGCTGATGTACGTGGGCGCCCGCCTTACAGGTCGAGTATGTCCTGACCAAGAACATGCGCAAGAACCGCATCCAGGCTCTCCGCGTCACGGGCGAGAACGGTGCGTCCCTTCCCGGCTCTCCCTCATCGATACCTCCACTGACGACTATCACCCGCGCAGGCATGCCCCTCATCGGGCTCACCGGCAACCCCCAGCACGTCCGCACGATCCAGCGCACCCGCCGCCCGCGCTCGAACGGCGACCCCTCCTCGCTCTCGGACTGATTCACTCTCGCCACTCACTCGCTTTCGCATCGACCAAAAGATTCCTCCGCGACTCGATTTACCCCAGTGACATCGCTTGATACCAACGCCTCATCGCCACTCTTTGCATTCTCTTCGAACTCGACCTCGTCGCCCCAACCTCACTGTTTTTGCAGTCCCACGCATCTCGCCAGTCGTTGCATTCCATCACTCGTTTCTTGCAATCCATCGCAACTCACGCAGCAAATGCCAGACTCGTGCCGTCCCTTCCTACCGTCGTTGTCCTTCGCTCTCCCCCCTTCGTGAGCATGCTCTCCTTTCGTGCAGATAACCGTCTCTCGCCTTGAAGAGAAGCAGGAGGGAAAGGTGTCAAACAGCTTCGTTTCGTTTCGAGGGTATACAATTGTCCTCTCCTCTGTCCGCCCCAAGTCCAGGTGTCACAATGCGCCCCTTCCCTCGCCCGCGCTCACTCGACCTTCCTCCGCTTCGCATCAGGCGAAACACCCGTCACCGGTTTCTCTCGCCCGTTCGGTGTTGTTGTTGAGGAGCTGGACGGAGGAGACGAAGGAGGGTGGGTCAACGAACTGTTCATTCCGAATTCTGGGAGTCTGGGGTCTGGGTCTGGGTCTAGAGTTGCGAGGATGGGGCCGCGTGTAGGGTTCTACGAGGAAGAGAAAGAGTGTATCGTGCGAGAGGGGGAGAGAGAGAGGGGAGGGGAGAGGGGTCGGGGCCTCACTTCTGCGCGGCAAAGTACTCCTTGCTCGCCTTGGGGTCAGGCTTGATCGTCGCGCTCTTCGACTCGGGGTCCCAGTTGGCAGGGCACACTTCGCCGTGCTCGTCCGTGAACTGGAACGCCTTGATCAGCCGCAGAGTCTCGTCGACCGATCGCCCGACGGGGAGGTCGTTGATCGTGATTTGGCGGAGGGTGCCCTTGGGGTCGATGAGGAAGAGGCCGCGGAGGGCGACGCCGGCGTCCTGCACGCGGGCGAGTCAGTGTCCCGCGACACAGACCTCGAAAAGTGCCGGCCACACACGCACCTCGAGGAGCACGCCGTAATCGCGGCTGATCTTCATGCTCTTGTCGGCGACGAGCTTGAGCTTCAACTCGGGCCCGAGACCGCCCTCGTTGCGGTTCGTGTTGGCCCACGCGAGGTGCGAGTACTCCGAGTCGGTCGAGACGGCGAGGACTTCGGTGTTGAGCGCGGAGAAGTCCGAGAGGCGCTCGTTGAAGGCGAGGATCTCGGTCGGGCAGACAAAGGTGACTATCAGCGGGGGAGTGGAGATCGGGGAGGTCGGCGGGAGTGTGGGCGGTGGGAGGGTCGGGAGGGTCGGTAACGAGTGCGCAAATGAGGAAGGCCAGGGAGATCAAAGGGGGCAAGACGAGCAAAGAGAGAGGAGCGGAGAGGGAAGAGGGAAGGGAGGAGCAGGTCAGCTTCGGCACTCCCGCCGACGGACGAAGACGCTGCGCCACGCACAGTCGAGCGGGTAGAAGAAGAGGACGACCCATTTGCCCTTGTACTGCTCGAGCTTGACGGTCTGCGCGAGGGACAGATTAGCCACGGTGTCCCTCTCGTCAACCTCGCCACGCTCGACGATGGGGGCGAGAGTCTACGCAAACGCACCTCGAAGAAACCGTCGACGACTGCGGTTGCCTCAAAGGCGGGCGCGGGCTGCTGGACACGGGCGACCATGGCTGTGCTGTGCGGTGAGCGAGCGGTGGGAGCGGACGAGCGACGTGGGAGAGAGAAGTGGCAGTTGTCAGCGGTGGCTCGTCGAGTGTCTGCGATAGACTGTGGCTGTCTCCTGCACTTACTTTGGGGACTTGGCGAGAGAGGGTGAGGGAGAGAGAGGAAGCGGGCGAGAAGTGGCTCGGAAGTCGGTCGAATACGCCGACAGGGGGACAGTATGAGTAATTCACTCGCTCGTTGGCATCCAGACCAAATCGCCAAGTGAAACTCGATCAAGCGGGACGACGAGGAGGAGAACACCTTCAACCGCTTGCACTCGCTTCGAAGGCTTGCCTGTGCTGCAGTGACTGCTACGGATCCACTGAGTCGTGCCAGCGTCGCCCAACTCGCTTCCATTGCTCCCCTCCACTCGACTTGCGCAACCATGTCCTCCCCTCCCATTCCCGCCGACGACGCACCGCATATCTCCGAGGCGGAACAGAAGAAGCTCGATGCGGAGCAGGCCGATCGCGAGAGGCGCGAGCAGGAGGGTGAGTCTGCGAGATCCGCTTCGAGTCTCGACGAAAGGACGAGGAGAAGGAGTGGGATGGGAGGACGTCTGCTGGGCGGGCGAGAGGTGCAGACGGGCAGTGTTTTGGATAGCGAGGACAACCGATTGGGGCGCGAGCTGTTCTGTCGCTTCGAGTCTGCTCTCTTTTCGCTGGCTGGAGACGAGGCAGGCCCTCCTCGGCTGTCAGTTGGGCGCCACACATCAACCAGCGAAACGTCCTGCCACTGTCGCGCAACTCACCCGACTGATCCGCGTTCACTCTCGCGCAGCCCTCCCCTACAAATGGCGCCAGACCCTTACAGATCTCACCATCACCCTCCCCGTCCCGCCCGGCACGCGCGGAAAACAGCTCGACGTCCAGATCAAGAAGAAGCATGTGCGCGTTGGGCTGAAGGGACTGGAACCCGTGCTGGAGGGAGAGTTGTTCAGGGAGGTCAAGGTCGATGAGAGTACTTGGACGTTGGGTGCGCTGGCTTCCCTCTAGGCAGACGTGCGCTTCCCTCCGAGCCTGGCGCTCTGGACGTCGCGCTGCACGTGCTTGCGGACGGGAAGTCCCGACTGACGGCTTACTGGCACGCAGACGACTCCTCCGAACTCACCCTCTCGCTCGAGAAAGTCTCGAACCAATCCTGGTGGCCTCACGTCGTCCTCTCGGCCCCCAAAATCGACACGACCAAGATCCAGCCCGAGAACTCGAAATTGAGCGAGTTGGATGGCGAGACGAGGGCCATGGTCGAGAAGATGATGGTGCGTTGCAGCCAGAGAGTTAGCTTGCGGATGTGAGTGGGATGGGCTGACTCGACTTGTCCGGCGTTGGACGCACAGTTCGACAACCAGCAAAAGGTGTGTCTCTCCACCTCTCTCCCCCCTCTTCCCCTCGCACAAGTCGCGCTTCTCGCCAGCTCTTCTCCCGCTCTCCTCGCGCGCTCTCATACTGACTTGCCCCGCTCGTTCGCCCTTCGCAGCAGATGGGCAAACCCACCTCGGACGAACTCCGAAAACAAGAGGTCCGCCTCTCCCTTTCCCGTATTCCCTTCCTCGCTGTTCCCTTCTCCCTCTCCAGTAAAAGAGGAGAAGCGGGGCTGACCACATCGTGCGGGCGCGCGCAGATGCTCCGCAAGTTCCAGGAACAACATCCCGAGATGGACTTTTCCAAGGCCAAGATCGGCTGAGCGGCGCGAAGTCTGGCGGGCGTGCGAGGCGGAAATGTGCGAGGGGGGCAGAGTGGTGGAAGGGAGGAGGTAGAGGAGGGGCGAGGGGGAGTGTTGTACGAACATGAGGATCGCAAGTTGCCTTCAGATCCGCGGTTCCGAGGTCTTCTGCCAGTCGGTTGTGCCCGGGAGAGAGGCAGCGTGCCGCGCGTGGTCGTAGAGATGACTTCATAGGGCGAGTGAGCCCAGAGAATCGGGTCAGCGTTGTTGGAGGAAGATGGGAAGGAACCGCCGCAGGGAAGAGGCGAAAGCGCAATCGGCGGGACGTACTCGAGCGGGTCATCATTCGTGCAGTCAACGCACGAGCTCGCTCAGCTGGTTGCGGTAGCAGCAGGAAACGACGCCGCGCTGACTCGACAGCTTTGAAAGCAGGAGACGGGCGGAGAGGAGCGGCAGCATTGAGGCTCGTCTGACGGCTTTGCCGGGAGCTCATGCAGCAGGAGAGCACAGTGGTCGGCCTCGCGAGCGCAGCGTAGTCGAAGCGAGGCCGGGTCAGCAGGATTGACGAGCGAGAAAGACGGATCTGGGGTTCTTCGTTGGGTGAGACGTGGCGGAAGCAAGCCGGCCCAGTCACGTCAGGCCTAGTACGCGCTCGTCAGCCTCTAGGAGAGGCGGAAAGGCTGAATCCCTTCGTTTGGCGGGTTGGAAGTGGGCGCGAGGAGGAAAAAGTCGCCAGTCGAGCGGGTTCAAGGCGAAGCACTTGACAAGTCTGTTCCGTTCGACGGACGGCCACCTCTTTTCCTCTTTCCCTCAATCCCTGTCCTCATCGGATGGGTCGCGCGAGACGGGTCGTGGCCAAGTGCGAGGAAAGGGGAGGGCGAGGATGGCGTCGAGGGCGAGGGGAAGAGCGCGACGAGGTTGAGCGACCAGCCGGGGAGCAGCTACCCAGTGAGCATCGTCTAGTGCAGTCGAGCAGTGTGAAGGAGTGAGAGAGGGAGGGAGCGAGGTTTGTAATGGCTGATTACAAGTTGAATACAATCGAGTTTAATGTTGCGCGCCGGGTGGCTCGTGCTGGCGGACGGCGACGAGGGCTCTCCTCCTCGCGAGTCGACCAACCAACCAGCGCCAGCCATGGGTGTGCGTGCCACACACTCTCTCAGACTAGACGCACACTGACGAGCCACCCACGCCACGCAGTTCCGCCACAACAAGCGAGTCGACCCGTCCTCGTCCTCGAAATCTTCGGCACCGCCCAGCTCGAACGGAGAACGGGGCTGGGTGGACTACGGGGCACACAGGGCTGACCGTGTTGCTCGGAAACAGCGTCTTGCACCGCAACCACTTCCGCAAGGACTGGCAGTCGCGCGTCAAGACTTGGTTCGACCAGCCCGGCAAGAAGCACTCGCGCCGCGTCGCTCGCCAGGAGAAGGCTGCCAAGGCCGGCCTTAGGTGCGTCAGCCGTTCACTTGAGGTGTCGGGGCGCTGGGAGCGAGGCGGGACGGGGTGTTGCGAGCCGTTCGTTGGGTCCGTCGAGCTGACCGTGTTGCTTCCCTCGGTTCTCCCCTTTCTCTCCCCTCTTTCGATTCGCCTTTTACCCTTCCCTGCGACACTCGACTCGGCACACTCGACTCGACTCGGTTTGCGCGGCTGGAACGGATGTTGGTGTGACGGTCGTGGTGCTCGCGGTGGACTCGCACTCGTGGTGGAAATGCGTGACGGTGCTCGCTCGGTGTGCGGACGGTCACGGCGACTCTGTGGTGGTGCTGGACGTCGTGTGTGCGGGACCTCGTGACTGCGCAGGCCGACCGAGCTCCTCCGCCCGGCGGTTCGTCCCCCCACGATCCGCTACAACCGCAAGCTCCGTGCCGGCCGTGGCTTCACCAAGGCCGAGCTCAAGGCCGCCGGTATCCGCGCCAAGGAGGCCCTCTCGATCGGCATCCCCGTCGACCACCGCCGCCGCAACCGCTCCGAGGAGGGCCTCAAGCTCAACGTCGAGCGCCTCGAGGCCTACAAGGCCCGCCTCGTCGTCTTCCCCAAGAAGGCCGGCAAGGTCAAGAAGGGTGACACCGAGGTGCGTCCGCTCGGAGTGTTCTGTGGGTTGAGCGAGTCGCTGACGGCTTCCGTTTCCCTTCGCCCCGCCCCGCCCCGCCCTTCCGACTGCCTTTCCTTCGACACTCGTTCCACTCGCTCCACGAACCCATCCACGACTTTGCCACTGCGCAGGGCGCCGACAAGTCGACTCCCGCCGTCAAGTCGGCCCAGGCTGCGTTCCCCATCCCCGCCGGCATGACCGCCGAGCAGCCCCGCTCGATCACCTCGGAGGAGAAGGAGTTCAACGCCTACGCGGCCCTCCGCAAGGCCCGCTCGGACGCGAGGCTCGTCGGCGTCCGCGCCGAGCGCGAGAAGAAGAAGCGCGAGGAGGAGGAGGCCAAGCGCAAGTAAGCGCGCGCGCGCGCTTGCGAGCGAATCGGTCGTGGGTAGCCAGCTCGGGATGTGCACCGGGGGCGTGTAATAACCGAGTCTTGCGCTGTGTTTGTCCCCCTCTCGCGCGGTGTTGAGGAGGTTCGCTCGAGGTGCGAGAGGCGGTTCCGCTGGCTTCTCTCGGGCGGCCACGGGGTCGCGGAGGTGCTTGAGTGGATGAAGGGGATGCTCTCGAGGCTGTCTGCCTCTCACAGCGAGGAGAGCGAGGTTGTTAACTTGGCGAGACTTGCTCTTTCGCTCCTTCGACTCGTTCCGTTGCTCGCATCGCTCAGATTCGCTTCGAACGCCCGCGCCAAGCTCGCGATGACTGCTACACTGCCAGACCACCCCAACTCGTCCGCCCCCACGCCCTCCTCGTCCGCGGAAGTCCACACCGTCACGACTCCAGATGGCGATACCGCGACGCTCTCGTATGCCCCGCTCGACCCGGCGGCGATAGAGCAGTCTTGCAGGTCGGAGAAGGACGGAGCCGTGATCTCGTTCGTGCGTCTGGTCGTCTCGCTGTTGTGGCAGGAGGTGGGGTCCATCTCGGATGCTCACTGTCGGCGCTCTGACACCTCGTACGCAGGTTGGCTACACGCGAGACAACTTCCAAGGTGCCTGCGAGGCTTTCACGGCTGTCGCAACTGGAGCGAACGAGCTGACATCGACCTCTGCCTTCTCCGCCTGCGGACTCTCTCGCCAATTCGCAGGCCGTACCGTCACGCACCTCACCTACGAATCCTACGTCCCCCTCGCTCTCAAGACACTCGAGTCGCTCCTCTCCGAAGCGCGCAACCTCCCGCCCCCTCCACCCGCGCCCTTCGCAGACCCTCACTCGCACGCCTGCTGTCCTCCCTCGACCCCCTCGCCCGACGGACGGATAGAAGTCTCCCGCATCCACGTCGCGCACCTCCTCGGACCCTCACCGCCCCTCACGCCCTCAATCGTCATCTCCGTCGCCTCCCCTCACCGACGAGAAGCGTTCTACGTCTGCGAATGGATGCTGGAGATGGTCAAGCGGCGGGTGCAAGTGTGGAAGCGGGAATGGTACGCTGAGGAGGAGGGCGAGTTTGTCGGGAGGGATGGAGAGGGGCCGGATGGGTTTGGAGGACGGGCGGGCGAGGCAAAGTGGAAGGAGAACTTTCCGCAGGATGCAAGGAAGGCCGCGCAGGGCGGGCGGTGATACCTCTTCTCGCAGGAGAGCGTGCTGTGGGAAGTGGTCGCCCCGAGACTCGTGAAGGGATGCTGCGAGGTCGACAGGTTTTTCCGCTTGTCGCCATGCTCGCTTCGCTTCCGAACTTTCGCTCGCGTCGCGTTGGATCGGGTACGATGACCGACCGTACGTCTCGTGACAGCGTGTGAGCGCATTCTGCTACAGCTACCGAGTGCGGATTGAAGCCTACGGAGCGAAAGTCAGCTGTGCAGACCGAAAAGCGAAGAGTGACGAAGGAGAGCGCACGAGAGGGCAATTTCAACATCTCAGAGCGCGAGTCAAGCATCTCAAATGCTAGGGGAGGCGCGGAGAATGTCATTGAAGCGTCAGAAGGCGCGAGTGACGGCCAATAAACTCACCCGCTTCCGACGGCTCAATCGTCCGTCCCACTGACCCAACAGCGAACTTGATGACGTTCCTGGCTCTCCAGGGTTGCACAATGGCGTAGGGTTAGGGTTAGGGTTAGGGTTA